GGATGCCTCGTGCACGACAGTAGGCTCGCAGAAGGCCAGAGGAGAACTCTCCGCCTCTGTCAGAGTGCAGACGCAGAACAGGAAAGTCCGAGCCGAAGCTCCGCCTGAGCTGGAGACGAGCTGCGCGGATCCAGTCGATCAACACCTCAGTGACATCACCCTTGCTGCGCAAGGGGAAGACTGTGGTGTAACGCGAGTAGTCGTCAACCACCAGCAGGAAGTAGCGCTCGTGACCCTGTCCACGGACGCGGGCCGGGTTCCACACGTCCATGTGAAGCGTCTGCAGCGGGGCCTCTGTCGGAGGAAACTGGGAGGAGTGAGGGGCAGCCCGCTGCCGCCCCTCGACACAGGGGACGCAGGTAGGGCCAGGCCCCGGAAGAAGGGGAGGGAGGGACCGGGGAAGACCAGAGACAAGGACACGGGAGGCCATGCCTCGTAGACGAAGCAGGGAGGGGTGACCAAGGCGGTGGTGCCAGAGGAGAGTCTCGTGAGACAGGAGGCGACACGAACAGGGGGCAGACTCAGGACCAGACCTGGACGCTGCAGCAAACACCTGACCCGACGCAGCTACCTGACCAGACGCAGTGACTGGAGGAGACGCAGTGGTCAGGGTGTACAGGCTCGACCCCGGCCGACGTGTAAACGTGGCCAGGTGTCGGCCAGTCCGAGCGTCCGTGCAGTGGGTCACCCGCTGACTCGCAGGAGTGAACTGGTGAACCCCCGCATCCTGTAGGTCAGCACCACTCACCAAGTTCGTAGAGAACGAGGGGAGGTAAAGACCAGACAGGGTGCCAGAGGGGGCCGCCGGACACGGGAGGACAGTGGAGAAGTGAGCAAGGATAGGACCCCCGGAGGGGTCTGCCAGAGAGACTGCAACTGGCCGGCCAAGCGGCGTGAGTGTGGTGCGGTCTCGAAAGAAGGAGCGAGAAGCCCCCGAGTCAAGGGTGAAGGTGTGGGAGGCCGGAGCCGACGCAGAACGTGAGAGAGCAGACTCACCAGCACCTGAGGGAGCAGACGTACCTAGAGCAGCAGCCTCGCTAGCACCTAGAGCAGCAGCCTCACCAGTACCTAGAGCAGGAGTCTCAATGCCCGGGTCGGGCGGAAAACACCGGTAACAGTCACCCTCATCACTAATGGTCACAGTATACATGGCAGCAAGAATAGCATCAAAGTCAAGGTCAAAGACAGCTACACCCGCCCTAGACAGCTCACCCCAGCGGGGGATCTCAGTGGCCTCAGGGAACTGGTGACGCCAAGCGTCCGTCAGGCGGGCGCTGGGTGGAGTGCGCACCCCCGCACTGCTCACCCGCGCGGTCGCCGGTGCGTAGGACGTAGGTGCACGGACCAGTACCCCCACCCTGCTGGCGTGCAGTGTACCACTCACGGAGCTGCTGAGGGGGGGGGATGTCACGAGTGCGCTGCTGCTGCTGGCGCTGACCACCACCGGAGCCGACCCTCTGCGCAGCGCCACCCCGACCAGCTCCACCTCCTCCGCCGCCTCCTCCTCCACCGCCGCCACCTCCGCTCCCACCGCCACCGCCGCCGCCGCCTCCGCCTCCACTGCCGCCACCGACACCTCCACCCCCGCCACCACCCCCACCGCCACCCCCACCCCCTCCACCGCCTCCACCGCCGCCTCCACCGCCCCCGCTAGCTCCTCCAGTGCCCCTGCCCCCCTTGCCCTTGCCAGGGCGGCGTCTCCCGCTAGGGGTAGACGCCGCACCGACCGACTCAAGCCCAACGAGGTCGGCCGCAGCAGCAGAGGCAACAGAGGGCAAAAGGGGGGAGGGGGAACACCCCTCAAAGATGGGGGTGCGAGGGTCACCACGAGAGGCTCCTACAGCTACTATGCTCTTCTCTGCTGCTAGGAGGGACTTCTCGAGGAGGTCAACGGTGAGAGTGGTGGGGCAAACTGAGAGGAAGTGGTCCCTGACTACGCGAAGGGAGTCAGGGAGCCGGGTGACTATGTAGTAGAGGGTGATGTACATGGGGGGGGGGGTTCTTGGCGCAGAACTCTGCAGGAAGCGCAGCGCGGTAGCGAGTGTCACTAGTGCGGAGGTGCGTAATGAGGTCAGCGACTGTGGGAAAGGCAGCAAGGTCAGGGAAGAGGTACGGTAGCATGAGGCGGCTCAGTGCAGCAGTGGCAGGGGAGGAGTAGCGCGCAACTACAGCGTCGTACAAGGTCTGAGCACTCTTGTACTGGCTAAAGTGCGCACGCTCAGAGGTAGGCAGGTGGCGACGCACAGCAAGACGTGCAGCAGCATCGCGCGTGGCCCACTGGGAGCGAACAGTGGCGTCAGCATCAGCAGCGGGGGCAGGAGAGGCACCAGAAGTGAGGTCAAAGAGGGAGAGGCCGTCTGCCCTGTCGCACCGTAAGAAAAGCTGCAGGTCATCTATCCAGACGTCAAAGTCAATGGCCCGACCCTCAGCGTCAAAAGCGAGGACACTAGGGGTAGCCATGACAGCAGTAGACTAGCAGCGCAAACAGTAGGGTGAGGGCAGTGCTGTGAAAGGGGCGCTGCTCTTACCAGACAGGGCGGCTCGGGTGGCTCGCTGTAGGGCGGCTCGGCGGCTCGGCTGCTAGGCGGCTCGGCGGCTCGGCTGCTGGGCGGCTCGGCTGCTGGGCGGCTCGGCGGCTCGGCTGCTGGGTGGCTCGGCTGCTGGGCGGCTCGGCTGCTGGGCGGCTCGGCGGCTGGGCGGCGTGGCTGTTGGGCGGCTCGGCGGGGCCGCTGAGAGGGCGGCGTCCGGGGCTGCTGGGAGGAGGCGGCGGGGCCGCTGAGAGGAGGCGGCGGTGCCGCAGGTTGGTGGCGGGGCCGCAGGTAGGTGGCGGGGCCGCAGGTAGGTGGCGAGGCCGCTGAGAGGAGGCGGCGGGGCCGCAGGTAGGTGGCGGGGCCGCAGGTAGGTGGCGGGGCCGCTAGTAGGTGGCGGGGCCGCATGTAGGTGGCTGGGCCGCTGGTAGGTGGCGGGGCCGCACAGGTAGGTGGCGGGCCCGCGGAGGTAGGTGGCGGGGCCGCCGGTAGGTGGCGGGGCCGCACAGGTAGGTGGCGGGGCCGCACAGGTAGGTGGCGGGGCCGCGGAGGTAGGTGGCGGGGCCGCACAGGTAGGTGGCGGGGCCGCGGAGGTAGGTGGCGGGGCCGCACAGGTAGGTGGCGGGGCCGCAAAGGTAGGTGGCGGGGCCGCGGAGGGTGGCGACGGGCGCGACAGGCGTGACGGGCGCGATGGGCGCGACGAGCGCGACGGGCGCGACGGGCGCGACGGGCCGTTAGGGCGGCGCGACGGGCGCGACGGGCGGCACGACTCGGGCCGGAGCAAAACGCGCACCGGGCAGGAAAAAAAATTTCGTGGTGGTGGGCCCTAGGAATCGTTCCCACTAGGGAACTTGCTCGATACCATGAGAAGAAACGAGGAATGAAATGACTAAGTGAAAGTTGGGTACAAAAGGCAAACCCTAGAAAACTGTACCCCATATGTGCTACCCCACTATAGCCTACAGTAGCTATGTCATATAACTCTGACACACTAGTGCGGTATGTATATATCGCCACCGCGGGTACAGTGATGGCTTCGGTTTAACGGTGGGTGTTTTTCGCTGACCAATCATGTGGGGGTTTTCAGCTTAGCGGGGACATGTATCTGGACCCTTCCGCTTTCAGGGTACGGACAGCGCAAACTGCGCACAGTTTCCGCAAAAGTCTGGGCTAGGGGGGAGGGTTATTGTTCAGGTTAGGGAGTCGAGCTCTCAATGAGCCACGTGGTTAGTCCTACACAGCTCTCTCACTGTACATCTACAATTTCAGATTCTGCACTGCGCTTGTTTGTCTTTTCTACCGAATCCAGGCTAGCTCGTCAGCTCACTGTTCCCAAAGCTGTGTGGCCGTTGTTGTTGTTTTTTTTCTCATCCAAATTACATTGCACCCGAAACCCTGAGAATATGTGCACCCTTCCTGACCGAAACAAAATAAACCCAATCGGGAAGGGGTGCGACTCGGGAGGCATCAACCCTAAAATGCGTCCGAGGGAGGCATCAACCCTAAACACCATGCCACAAGGTGTTTAGGGTTGATGCCTCCCTGACCGGATGCCTTCCCGACTGGGGTTTATTTTTTTTGCTCGCGTGTCCGTTGGGGTATTTCGAGTGTAATATATTGAGTAGAAACGACAAACCAGAGCAGTGGAGAATCTGTGATTGAACACCTACAGTGAGCTCTCTGTGAGAACTGGGAAACGTGGCTCATTGAGAGCTCGAGTCCCTAATCTGAACAATAACTCTCCCCCCCTAGCCCAGACTTAAGCTGAAACTGTGCGCAGAAAGCGCTACCCCTAACCTGAAAGCGGAGGGGTCGGGATACCCCTCCCTGCTAAGCTGAAAACCCATCGTGTGGCTTCTCCTCACAGCCTTTGTGAGACGACTTCAATCCCCAGGCATAGACGTATTTCAGTGACCACGCTCTGAAGCAAGTCATCATTTAGCCAGACATTAACTTCTCTGCGCGACTCTCTAGAAGCAGGTTACTGCTACCTTGCACTACCCCCTTCCGTCACTACTTCGGTGTCCTAGCGTGTATGTGCGCAATGGGATAACTCGCATTGCAACCCCCTCAACACCCGGGAGAGATCTGAAATTTCAGATGGGCGGCACAGGTACGGAGCTTCGACTGTAGTTGCGCTTTTGCTATGCGTATCGAAGTAGCTGTGGTTCGGTGTTGCTGCTTTTTGGAAACGCGCGAGCAATTACCTACTTAGCACAGAGTTCAGCTGATGCTGTGCGCAGCTTGAGGGTTTTGCGCTATTCCTATTTTGTGAAGTTGCAGGTTGTTGCGTGCGAGGACTGGACGCGACGAAGTTAGTCACACTTATGGGGAGTGCGTCATACGCGAGGCAGGTATACTGTTTCTATTGAATATTCCGGGCTCGCCAAGTATGTGTTCGCTTATCTGCATGTTCGGTAGCATGTTTCACTAACTGTTTTATATACATGCTCCCGATGTACCATCCCGCAGGCAGTGTCAACTTTGTCCTCGACCCGGCACGCTGATAGTACGAGTCTTGGCGTCTCGTTTTCGCTCCGCCATGTCAACGTTTACACCTGTGTCAGAGGTCGAACCTTCACGAGTAGACGTTCCGGGGATTGCGCCATGGGTGTTCCTCTCGCATAAAGAAACCGAATGCTTAAACTCAGGTAAGCATCAGGCGCGACGCATGTCCGTTATTTGTACTTTGCCATTCAAAGGCCGTTATGCTCTGTGTGTATAGGACACGTGGTGTGTTGTTTTTGCGCAAAAGAAGGTCCAACAGTAAATGTTACTCATGATATTACTGAAAGTGTTCCTTGTTTTCACTTTAATCATGACATGGCTTCGTTCTCCTTTCTATTGCTTCCACCTTCGTTCTCCTGATGTCACCAGCATTCTCCTACCTTTTCCTGGTGTCTCCTTTTTTTCCCTCTCATCTGTATCTTCCTGCTTTCACCTGTGTCGTCCTGCTTCCGCATTGCATTGCCCAGGTAATTCTACAACTCTTGAAATCTCACCCGCTTACTCCTACTTTCCTCTCCTCCTTTCTCCATTCTCGATTTCTGTATGCTTCAGATTTTATTCTCATCTTTGTATTCTCACCACTTTCTTTCTCCTGCTTCCGCCGGCTTCCCCCTTCTCACCCTGCGCTCCCCTGCTTCCCCTTTCCCCCTCTGCTCCCCCCTGCTTCACCCTTCTCCCCCTGACTCCCCCTGCTCCCCCCTTCTCCCACTGCTCCCCACTGCTTGCCTCTCAGGACGTTAATACGGTGATTTCTGAGGCAGTTCACCATGTATTCCGGGTCAACGATGATGTGCCAGTCATTGGGTCTTCGCAGGTAATATGGTTGTGACCCCCCATTCCATAGTATGCCCCGTATAACCTCTTTGTTCCGCTGCGCATGTGTGCGGTTGTGTGCAGGTTGGACTATTGAAAGGGTCACCTACACGTCCCTTGTTGCTGCTGACTCGTTACCCGCTGTAAACGTTACTTCTTTTATGTGTCACCCATCTTGTGTACCATTGGCAACATGAAGGATCTGTGACCCAATCCCGTGCGAAATGTGCACGCCTGCCATTTTTGTCCTCGCAATGGTACAATTAAGTAGGTTTCCAAGGTCAAAGAACCGATGCTTGAATAAGTACGGATTAATGCAAACGTCTGTACAGTAATATCTCCCAGCAGGAAAAGCGCCATATGCAGTTTATTGTGGTTGACAGTGGACAGAGTGACAATAGTGGAATGCCCATGATATGCAATTTTTGTTTATTCTGTAACAGAATGGGATCATTTCATGTTACAAATATCCAATCGTGTATTATCGCAATCGATACAAGATCTCTCCAGGAGTAGTATCACAGATTGAAGCTTACCGACCCTTTAATTTTTTGAAGTTATTTCCATGTTACATTGTCGCTTGACCGTTTATCGGAGTTCACAGTACCGCATTACCGTAAACAATGTAATTTTGAGTTGTGAGTTGTTAGGGAAATGACATCGAAAGTGTTTCTGTGTGTTCGACTCTTGATTTCGCGCAGGATTGTAGCGCGTGTGACGGGAACGCACGGGATTGGGCCCCAAATACTCGGGGGGTCACCTGTAGGTGACTTGTGGGTAACATCAGGGTCACCTCTCGGGGTCACCTCAGTGTGACAACGAACTGAACTTCGATCGAGGGTATCACTGTTGGCGACAATGGGGTATCACTCTTCGGGGTAACCCTGATGTGACCTTGGGGAAAATTCGCGGGGGATTTTTTGAGGATGATGTGGCTCTAGCGGAATCATTTTTTTGTCGCCCCTCGAAGACATCCCAGAAAGGCCGAGCAAGCTGGCTCTGGGCTGGAAAAGGAGATCACCGAATCCCAGGGATTCTCTTAAGAGCGTGTCCGAGGTGCAGCGTCAAAGGATGTCGAAGGATGTCGGTGAATTTCAACCCTCGGATCGAGAGTTCCAACCGTCAAGATTTACCGACATCGGATGTCCACGGATGTCGACTTCACTTCAGACCCGCCCTAAGACAATCTCGAGATTGGAGTAAATATTGGGTGGTTATCTTGTCGACAAAGGATCTGTTGCGAAGGTTCTCGGAGTGGTTCATTCGTCTCACGCACTGCTCAGCATCACGACAAGGCACTTGACTTGGCCTGGGGTCGGGTTGGGAAGGAAACATGTCGGGAACTGTACACTCTGTTTCTCGATGTTTGAACAATCGGGAGCCCCGGCTACAGTGCGCACGTGTGCTTGGATTCAGCGGGCTGGTGCTTGCAACCGAAATGCAATTCAGGAGAACGGTAGACAACGGTTCATGAAAACAAACGTGCTTTTGAGTTCGGTTTCGTGCGGCAAAAGTGCTTATACGGTATGTTCTGGGACCAATTTGGACGCATTGATGTCAGTACAACCGGCTTGTCAATATGGCGAATGTCAGTGTGGTGCGAAACAGGGTGTATATGTCTCACGAGAAGAATCCCGGCTGTACTGTACATTTGTGAATGGAAGGGCTTCAAGTGAGCTCTATTGCGTGGTGGAGATTCATCCGTGGTACGCAAAGTTCAAACATGACTGCGAAAATTCTTCGAACTTCAAAATATATGGGATTTGGTGGGTGAGCTCTCACAGTAAACCGTGTAAGCGGTGTCAACTGTATATGTATCTATTTGCATGTGTGCTTTCTGCCTGCCCGTAAACGGTGTGAAGTTGGCTGTGTAGGCACATGAACTGGTTCGTTCCTTCAGACCACATATGACGCAGTTTGATAGTTCCGCCACATTTCGACAGCTTTCGACTGTCACCATTTTGCACCATCGCGCACCAAAATGAACCATTTTGAGCTGCTTGGAAAACAAACGAGAATGACCTGCCTGCCTTATGGGATGCAGAGGAAAATGTGAGGGGGAGGTCGGGGGAACTGTGGACAGTTGCTCTGACTCGGAAGCTGTACACCCTCATACTCGGCCTACGCACAATCGGGAGCAGCGTCTACAGTGCTGTCAGGTAACGCCACTGTGCATATGGCCGAACCCCCTAATGTCGACAGGCACACATTTTTTTTTTCCATAGAAGGCTTTTCACTATATCAGGGATACAGCAAAATGGCCACAGTCGTAACTGTTGTGGGGAGGGGGGCAATTACACACAGTGAGAGAGCCACTCCTTGTATTCATCTACGGCGGTTTGAATCTGGCCCTCCGATCTGTCTAGATAGACAGGAATTCGTCACGCCATGTAAGTATGTTGACTATCTTCATGGTAGCATTTTTCAACGCTGCGACTCCGTCCTTGGCCAGATGTTGCTTGGTCACGCGTCTCCTTTTTAACGAATCCATGCCGCTAGCGTCGTGAGGTTCGTCCTCCCTCCAAGTACACCGACTATGCTACGGTAGCCGTTGGGGAGACGGATAAGGAGGGCGTGGCATATTGCTTCGCGACCAAGGGTGATGATGAACACGCGGAATCTCTCATGGAACCACCCCCTAAAGATCCATCCCGTGCATGCTACGAGCATGATGGATTACACAGTGGGTTGGGTGCAAGGGGGAGTTTGATGGAGTTGGGTGCATGATGGAGTTTGCGTGTGTTGGAAGCAAGGCGGTAGTGGGGTAGTTGTATGCCCCCAACCCACCGAACGAGTTACTTCTAGTGCTCACGGTTGAGTGAGTTGAAAGCTAGAAGTTACACGAAGGTTGGAGGCTGTCAAGAAGGTGCAGGTTGACTTCGGAGGACTTGCACTTCGGTTCCACATGGAAGCACAAGAAGAATCGAGACTCAGGGAGAATTCGATTCGGTGAAATTCGAGAGTCGAATTTCACCCCTTTGATGTTACTTGAACATTCGAGTGTACCGCGGTTCGATGTTACATGTGCGATTCGACGTTTTGCAGTTCATATATTGTGTTTGTTTTATATTGCATGGAATATAGTGAAAACCAGAGTTCTTTGTACGTGGTACATTCGAACCTGACATTCCAGAAAGCTTCTATACTTGCATTCAAGAGCACCACCCAACACGTGAACGCCTATATCTCGCTCAATACTTAGGCGATCGACGGGTGTGATGGCTTGTTGGAAAGCTAAGTCAGAGCTCTATCGTTTAGAACAACTCCTAGCTTCTGTAAAGTAGAGGAGAGTCCTTTACAGCACCTTCGCTTGATGCCCTCATACGTCCGCGCATGTAGACAGAAAGCCGTCACAATCCCCCTTATCACCTTCCGGCACTGGAACTTCCATCCCCTGAATACCGCGTTGCAGCGCTCCACCCAAATCTGGTGGAATATGATTGTCGACATCGTCAGCTCAGGAGATCCGGAAGCTATCCCCCCGCGCTTGAATAGCAGGTCGCCAAGTGTTCTTGCTCTCCGCGCTGGATTGAACCAGCGAATCGCATCGTTAAGGGCCCCCACCGCAGGCTGGATGACACGGCAGGAGAACAGAGCATGGTCCACTGACTCCGCCTCCCCGCAGTGTGGATATTTTGCCAAGCGCCAAAACAGAACATTCGAAATGATCTGTTGACATTGTCCTAAACGGTGGTTCAAAAACACACAAGAAACACACAATTTCGAACACAGGTTCAAAACACAAACAGAATCGTTGCGTTCGCTACGTTCACATGATGCCAGGGTTGAGCCATTCCCGGTTGCCTCGTGAAGGGGGCGCTTAAGCTGTTCTTGGTATTTCGCATAATTTTTGTCAATTCGCGACTAGTAAAAAAGGATTCGTCAGGTGCTCATAAAATAATTGTAACTTACCCGTTGACATTTTAACTTCGGTCTTTTCGTTACTACTGGTGCAGAACCACGCGACGTGCTTGTAACGTGCGTGCAACTGGCTGGGGAAAAAAACCCGGGTGCAGAGTTTCCATCCGGGGCAGCGCAAATTTGTGTGCAGGGGGTGAGCATCATGTGTAGAAAGGGTTAACGTATGGTATGAGCGAAAAGCGACGGCAGCCAAACACACATGCGAGCGCACTGTACACTTCATGATTCAGCAACACTTCCTGGCCAGTCAAAGTCAACAGCTGCATGACCAACTTGGAAGTCGTGATTGTGCTTGTAGAGTATTCCAGGTAGCACCATTCCAGGCACGCTGCAGTCACTACAAGCGTTCGGTTCATGTGGCGATTGTCATTGTGGCGAGAATGAGGGTGTACAACTGTGGAAGATATTGCACAACTGTGGACACACTTGCTCACCCCAAAGCTAGCAGTGACCCAACACTGCAGCCAGCATTTCGACCTGGCGATTTGAAGGGTCAGTCTCTAGTAGCAGAGAGCTGAGAAAGAGTCGTTTGGCCGACTCACTGATGACGCGGCTCGGTGAGCGCCGCGAGCGCGTGCCGGCATGGTGGCTCGGCGTCTTTGCCCTGCTCATCGCCGCATTGCCATCACCATTGGTGAACGCCGTGCCACTCGAGTCCACGCAAGGTGAGGACTCATCTGATAAGAGCGGCGGCTCCGACGGTGCCGCATGCGACGGTGAGCAGCCGCGGCGTTCCTACTACTACTACTACTAGTAGTAGTATAGTAGTATAGTAGAGTATACCACTCCGGGTGCCCTGGGACATCATGTCAGGATTAGACTTGGACGCCACGATGACTGCAGACTCGATCATCGATCTGTGATAATGATTTCCACCAAAATCGTGTATCGATCTGCTAGTAGTACGTTTCATAAGGTAGAGCTTCAAGGGCGGCGCTACTACTAGCAGCCTCCTCGTTTTGCTGACGATGCTGCTGCGGCTACTAGAAGCGATTTTCACGACGGGTGGGGAGAAGGATACGAGGCACCATGGGTCAGCACGTACCAACTACATGAGGCTCTGATCTACATAGTAATACTACTACCTCTTGTATCACAACCGATTAGACACGTACCTGAAAACTCACGGATCTTTCTTCCCCCATCGCCAAAATGTTTCTGTCCTCAAAGTTTCTTTTGGGACTAACACTATCCAACCATCCCAAAAGTGTCTTCTGGGATAAGACTGGGTCACGTTTGAGTCACATTTCTGTCCCAAAAGAATCTTCTAGGACAATTTTGGGATAGTGAGAAAGTGTCAATCCCAAAAGCAACTTCTAGGACAGATTCAGGAAAGAACATTTTGGCGATGCCCTTCTCCTCCCCTCCCCATCTCCCTCCTTCTCCGCTTCCCCTCCCCACCCCCAATCCTCTCCACGTCCCGCCACCCGTTGCATTCCATATGTGCAGAAGTTGAGGGGCGAGGGAAAGCGTTATGGCAATGCCGCTCGGACGAAGAATAAGGCGGCACAGTCTAACGTCATGTTTCGATCCAGTAGCATCGTAAGTACTCCATTCGACACGTACCTACATCACAGGATTCCTTCCCCCCCCCCCCCCCCCCCCACTTGCCGCCACGCATTGCAGTGACATTCGTGCAGGAGTGCCAGACGGCATGGGGGCAGACCATCGCTGGGTGGAGTGGCGCGAGTCCCGAGTGCACCACCGCAACTGGCCTCACATGCGACGCCAGCGGATTTATTCTCTCCTTGTGAGGCGAATGGGAGCGCTGCTTTCAGATGGTGGCTTTGAGGGATAGATTTGACGCGATGGGTTTGAGGGTTTTAAAGGCGTTTCGATAACCTGTGATTATGGTTATGGGGTGGTGTGTGTGGGTAGTGTTCTGGGCTGCCGCCTACCAGAGCTCTTACGTTAGCATCGATTGACATGCCCTTGTTGACACCATTGTTGCCATTTGCCATTGTTTGATGCACCATGAAACAGGAAACTCCGCAACTACAAGCTGGCAGGGCAGATTCCAAGCTCTGTCAGCAACCTCATTAAGATCACCTATCTGTACGTCCTCCTCAGTTGCAGCGCCTCGACTTGAGTGCTTGGTGCAAGGGAACGGCACTCCATGCCCACAGTTGGTGTCTGGGAAATTTGGATTTTTTGGCATTCTTCCGTGGGGTGCTTGCATGCCGTCTGCGCGGCAGATGATGGGCGACAGTTGGCTTGTCTGAGCCGGCAGTTCCAGCATCGACGGAGCCATCCGTCTATGAGAAGCTTGAAAGGGCGAATGCAATGCGCTTTGCACCCATGAAGCCTGACCATGCCAATGCATTGATGGTTGGGTACAGGCGAGGCGAGCCCACGGCGTTAAGCGTGGCTTGGAATTGAGCAACCACACCCTTTCCTTGGTTTGACCCCTTGCAACTTCTACTCGCCTGTTTGCTGATGTGGTCGTCCCTCACAGCGATCTTGCAAGCAACCAGCTGCCAGGAAGCATACCTGCAACCGTGACTGCACTCAGCCTGCTGAGATACTTGTGAGATGCGCACCAGTGTCTGCCACGTCTGCTGTTCATTTTTCCCATAGACGTTTACCTGCATTGTGTGCTCTCATGCATTGTGTGCCACCTGTCCATCACTTCACCTGTCCGCATACACACCTGTCCGTGGCCTCACCTCTCCGTGCAGGTGGCTGTTCAACAATACGCTCACCGGCCCCATCCCAACCGACATTGGCTCCATGACTAGCCTTGTATCCATGTGAGACTTCTGACTCCTGTGCTTGCTTGGTCGCATTATCTGCCCTTCAACAAACTACGTGTGCTGGGTGCAATGCATGTGACGTTCGCCTTATCTTCATCATGTGCGAGCTCGGTCGGTCCTCATCCTTTGCTGTATGTCTGCCTGCCTCGGTGCCTTTTTACATTACGTTGGTCCATCAGCGCTCTCTACACCAACATGCTGTCAGGATCCGTGCCCGCTTCAATCTCAAAGCTCACTGGACTCACGTTTTTGTAAGATAATCAGCTGCCCCCCTTGGAGCGATTCCACTTGCCGCTTGTCTGAAGGTCAAGTGATCCCACAAAGAAGCATCCCTCTTATTTCCGTGCATGCTTATATTTGCCTCATACTCTTGCTGGGCCTCCTGCTCTCTCGCCTCATTCCCGCTTCATGCTCGTAACTTCACATTCACCAACCCTCTGTCATCTTGCTGAGCTCTAGGCTCTGGCGAATCAAGTCTTGCACATGTTTTGCTGTCTCCTATACTTCCCTTGTGACTAACCAAGCAAGGTGCAGTCATGCCAACCATTCCCTTGCACCAATAACAATGCCACACAACACCGCTTGCCTCCTTACCTTGCTTGTATACCGTGGTCGGCTCGCCTCCATCCTAACCCATTCTGAACCGACATCCTCTTCCTTCCTTGAGTCCTGGTTGTTCCATCGTGTCCTCACACTGCGTGCGGAGTGGCTGAGCTTCCCACTGCGTGCGGAGTGGCTGAGCTTCCCACTGCATGCGAAGTGGCTGAGCTTCCCACTGCGTGCGGAGTGGCTGAGCTTCCCACTGCGTGCGGAGTGGCTGAGCTTCCCACTGCGTGCGGAGTGGCTGAGCTTCCCACTGCATGCGGAGTGGCTGAGCTTCCCACTGCGTGCGAAGTGGCTGAGCTTCCCACTGCATGCGAAGTGGCTGAGCTTCCCACTGCATGCGGAGTGGCTGAGCTTCCCACTGCGTGCGAAGTGGCTGAGCTTCCCACTGCGTGCGGAGTGGCTGAGCTTCCCACTGCATGCGGAGTGGCTGAGCTTCCCACTGCCACCATGCCCTACCCGCCAATGCGCCTTGCTTGCTACCCAGCCAGTGCTCACAAGATGCCCTGCCCTTGCTCGTTTCACCTTTTGAGGCGCCTCAAAAGTCGTCTCTCTACCCGCAATTTTTATATTGATCGAATTCTTGTTGCTTGGAAGTGTGCACGTAACGTGCAACAGTGCCTGGTTCGCGCGAGGTTACCACCACCCAATTCCAAGACTGCCGAAGACAAACCCGAAGAGTGACTGGACACCTAGGAATTTTCTTTTGTGTCTAGTTGGCGCATTTCTTATCTAGTTACGCGCCCGGGGTAGGATTTCCCTGTGTAGATCTCGAGGCTTGGGTGTTCTTTAAGACCCCTTGCTTGTTCGCTCTTTCACTTTGAACTCTTGCACTGATGAAGGCCTAGCGGGTATGATCCCCGTGCAAAGCCGAAACATGTTTGCTTTCGTCTAGAGTTTGAACTGAGTTGTACGTTCGGATCTTAATCAATTTTTTCGAGGGTTACCTTTTTCACTGGTTGACTATCATCCCTTTGCTAAAGGCGACCTTGCCTACTGCTGCCCTTCTTCATGAGCACAGAGCCAGTGCTCACAAGATGCCCTGCCCTTGCTCATTTAACCTCTCACCCTCTTGACGTTACCCCCGTTATTTTCAAACCCTGTCTGGGACAGGTCTCTCGCTAGCAACCAGCTCACCGGCCCCATCCCTGCAGACATTGGCTTGCTGAACCGGCTGGCTATTATGTAACGGCACATATTTCCTTCAGTCCTCAACTTAATGCTCTCCACGCTGCCATTTTGCATCCTTTTGGTACTGTGTCATGCCTGCCGGTTCGGGTTTGGCTGGCAATGGTCCACGCTCTTCTGCCATGTCATGCATTTGCCTTAGTCCCTCCTCCACCCTTGTAAACCCATCCACCTTCTGTTGTTCCCTCTGTCATGTCACGTTTTTGTTCGCAGTGATCTTTCAACCAACCAGCTTTCAGGAAGCATTCCTGCCAGTGTCAGTGCCCTTGCTCAAGCCACCATCCTGTACGTCGCATACAAGTGATGTGGGCAAAAAGAGAAGCGCCAAAGTGCCATGCCATTGCCGCAGCAAAGGGTACAGCGCTTGTGAGACTGTTCCGTTGGGGCTGCTTGTGCCTGTGTAACATGACGTGTTGCCTTTTCCCCTCATGCGGGCCACTGTTACCCCACCTCTTCCTGAATTTCCTTCCTGTCTCCACAATCAATATCCTGCTTTAAATCGCAGCTATCTTTCTAGCAATCAGCTCACCGGCTCTATCCCTGATGAGATTGGCTACATTTCTAAACTATCAGCGCTGTAAGCAATCACCCCCCCCCTTCACCCCTTTCCATTCTCCTAGAGAACCTCCCCTCGTGTCTGCTTTTCGCCATTTGATATCCTTCCCTCTTCTTCACTGCTCATTTACTCTTGCGCACACAAATGCGCGCTTTCCTATTGCCAGCTACCTTCCCTTCTCTCTCCCCTTCTCTTTCCTTCCCCTCTGATGCAATCACTGTCAGCTCAACAGTCCCCAGAGGTGGCCTGAGAACTCCAGAGTGCGCCACACCCGTGTGGCTCCCATGCTGTCTCTGCTCCTCTAGTCTCCTCACAAGTCACCACCTCTGCCCTTCACCACCTGCCCCCCCCAGCTCTTTCCGCCTCAACATGCTGTCAGGATCCTTGCCTGCCTCAATAACAAAGCTCACTGCACTCACAACTTTGTAAGGGTTTGACCTGTTCTTCGTGGAACAGAATTTTGCTCAATCACTGATTTTGTGATATGATAACGTAGTAGCAAAGCCACTCAGCACGCCCTAACAACTAAAATGCCCTGTATGCATGCTCCCCTCGTTGCTCCATCTCTTTCTCACCATTGCCCATCTCTATGCCGTCTCCTTTGCACACTTCCCTGCCTCTTGCTTATCCCCCTCTCTTAAACAGCTCCGTTGCTAGCAACCAGCTCACCGGTCCCATCCCCGCTGAGATTGGTGTGCTCACAAGCCTGATCGCTTTGTATGGATACGGGTGGAATTATATCGCTGCTGATTATGTTCTGCATTCTCCTCGTACTCCTTGCCGCTACCGTCTTCCCCTCTCCTTCATTTGTTCTGCTCCTCGTTCCTCTCAAAGTACTAGATTTCCCTTTACCTTCTTGGCTCTCTTGTTCAGCCTGGTCCCTACCCGCCTTCCATCAGTTTGTTGTGCTCTCGCATGGCTTGAAATCTGTTGTTTTTTTTTTTTGTTTCTTTTGTTCAGAATGCCCAAGACGACGTTTCTTTTAGTCTGTCTGCCCTCCTTTTGCATACTATGCTACTATTGCCTCTTAAACACAATAAATTGTATTATACGTTTAACGGGTTACTCACTTTGTGAGGACTCGAAATTCGATTGATCATTGGCTAGAAATTTGTTGCTTGCTTTATGAACCTCCAGAGATCTTTCAGGCAACCAGCTTTCAAGCAGCATCCCTGCCAGTGTCAGTGCTCTTACTCAACTTACTTTCCTGTGAGTCATACAGAAACGAGAAAGGCAAGAAGGGATTGGCTTGGCTAGTGCCGGATCCGGCTCAATGAGCCATGCTCAACTCAGCTGAATACTCTTTATGCACATCACTATCATTCCAGCCATTGTTCGTCTGGATAGATTTGAACATCTGCTCCCTTTCCCTTCTCACCTCAGCCTCCGCCTCTCGTTATATCTCATTTCTGTGTTGCTTCATTCAGAAACCTCTTCAAAAATCAGCTCTCTGGCCCCATCCCGGCTGAAACTGGTTCCATGTCCAGACTTGCATCCCTGTAAGCCCCTTACCTCGTAACATTTTTCCTGCCCACCGCTTGTGTTCTGTTTGTGCGTTTCCTGATTGTTTCTCCCTGTTTGAAACCCTTTCCTGGTCACTTCTCCTATTTCCTTCATGACTCACGGAAACATCCAGTCATCCTCATTTCAACAATGCCCTTCGTGTGCTTACCCACTTTAGCACTCCATCTGCTTATTCCTTTTCTATTCCAGTACCTCATCTCCATATGCAATCACATGTCACATTTGGAGTAGTAGGGACAGAAGTTCAACCCCTGTGAACATTGGTTCAATCCCATCTCTCTCATCCCCTTTAGATGTTCTCTCCCTCTCTCCACTTCTTTACCTCCATTTCCTCCACTTGCTACCATACCTATCTCTCCGTGCCCTTCCTAGTTCTTTCCAACATCTGCCTCTGCTCCTGCATCCTCAAGTGGACTCGCCTCATTTCTTCCTGCGCCTCCACCTTCCACACCGCCATCAGCTCTCTCAGCTCAAACAAGTTGTCGGGATCCGTGCCCTCCTCGATCACACAGCTCACTGCACTCACTTTCTTGTAACTTGGCTAGACCTACCTAAATATCCCTTCTGATGCATCATGCATCCATATCATATTAAACTAGTGCCCATACTATCTTTGTTTTCGTTCGTCTCTTTGTTGTTTCTTAAATCTCCAACGGTCCTTTTCATTGAATATAATAAACGGTACTGCAAGTGTAGGCCATGCATGGACTAATGAGACTAACCTATTGCTACGAAGACGACAACTGGAAGCATGTAAGTGGTGGGACATAAGTGAGCTACCTAGGCGACTCTAGAAGCCCACCAAACAGCCTGTAAGTACCCATAGGTACTGGATTGACGTCTAGCAGGGGAAGGGATGAGCAAGGGGCGAACACAAACACGTTCGTGTTCGCCCCTGCACGAACACAGCCGTTCGCCGAACCGAACACTGTTGTTCGGTTCGGCGAACACTTTTAGCAAAAAACAGATGTTCGGTGTTCGCCTGTGAAGGCGTGTTCGGGCGAACCTCGAACACGTTCGTGTTCGACGCGGGGCAAATTGCAGCAGCGGCCCGAACACGAACATGTTCGGGCGAACCTCGAACACGTTTGTCACGAACACTTTAAACTAAAAACAAAACCTGTTCGGTTTGCCTTCGTTTTTTTGCTCAACTCTAAGCAGGGGGTGGCTGGCCGTATTGTGTGCCTACGCTCTCTCTGTGTCAAGTGCTGACAAAGAGAAAATATCATAATTCTGTTTACCGTATTGAGTAGAAAAAGGCGAATTTCAATCGTGATGGCATATACTACACTAAAATCGTTTCATGTCGTGTGATACTTTTGTGTGGGACGGCTAGATCAAACACTTAGACCCTACTAGCAAATCTAGTTGCACGTCGAACCAGCCAATGCGCTTAAGGAACTGTAAGGGACCATTGGCGATACTTACTCTATTGCAGTCAAGTATATCTCAATCGTTTCCAGGGTCCTGCCTCACCAAAATTTCGAAGGGGATGTTAGTAGAACCTGAGGGTGGTGCATGGATATTGTTTTGTTGTTCATTTACATGCTTTTGGCCTAAAAAACAGAAATTCTAGTCGTTATGAGGGAAGAAATTTGTCAGGATCCAGAAACATAATTGCTCGCACTTAGCACCTCTTGCCCCATCTCTCTCACTATTCCCCCTCTTCTTTCACACTCCTCCACTTCCCAATCATCTCCTCTTCTGAACAGTACCCTCGCTAGCAACCAGCTCATAGGTCCCATCCCCAACATTGGCGTGCTCACAAAGCTGGTCACTATGTATGGATTTTTATGCATTCTACCCCGTTGATTTGTTTGTCCTCGTTCTTAACATGGTCCCTACCCCCTCTCCCCACCTTCCCCCCTCCCCCCCTCCATTTCCATCACATTGGTGTGCTATTGTGTCAGTTGTTAACTGTTGGATTTTCTTTAATCTTTTTTCGTGCGGCCAGGATGGCATTTCTTTGTCTGCCTTTGGTCTGCATTGTGTCTTCTGCTGTTATTGCCTGTTTATCTTTGTTCCTATCCCCATTCCATCACTTTGTTGTGGTCGTGTGCCACCTGTCATCTGATGCTTTGTCTTTCTTGTGTTCAGAGTGTCCAAGTTGACAATTATTTAGTCTGTCCGCCTTTATTCTCCTTCGTTTCATGGGCTGTTTTTGCCTGCTCCACACATCGAATGCTATCATACATGTACGGCTCGCCCACTTTGTGACACCGCAAAACTGATGATTTTCTACAACTTTCTTTATGAATCTCCAGTGATCTTTCAGGCAACCAGTTTTTAGGCAGCATCCCTGCCAGTGTCAGCGCACTCACTTCACTCAATCTCCTGTAAGTCGAAAACACTTGAGGTGGGCAAAAAGGGGAGGGCAAGGCTCAACTGGGTGATGTGCCAGGTCCGGCTCAACGAGACAGACTCAACCTGGCTGCATGCTCCATCATTCCATGTAAGGTTGCCTGCATAGATGAATAGAGGCTCTAATCCATTTCCATGCTCACATCTTTCTCTGCCTGTCGTTCCATATCATCTCTGTGTGTGTTGCTGCATTCAGGTTTCTCCATAACAATCAGCTTTCTGGCTCCATCCCCGAAATAGGTTCCATGACCAGACTTGCATACCTGTAAGTCCATTTCCTCGCCACCGAGAGTGGTGATGACAGGTTGCTGAGCTCCCTCCTCTGTGCTGAGCACATACAATGGAACCCAGACTCATTTCACCTAGGAGATAAAAAATTATGGCACCTCTGTTGGTATTCCATTTCCTCTTGGCACCCATAGACGCCCCAAGATTCCTCTCGCCCAGCTCAGGCAGCAATGTAGACTGCTGGCATCTCCTCGCCTGCTGCTATTTTTTTCTGGCACCCTAAAATTCTCGCAACGCCACCCACCTTTGTCGGAAGACCTATTGGGTGGACTAAAATGGGTCGGACGTTTTGACCTAAGTGGGAATATACGCTCAAAACTGTTTGCGTTTAGCGTATACACGCTAGCGTGTATACGCAAAACGCTATACGCTCGCCAATCTTTTTTTTTGGCAGCCCGGCCGGAAATTTTCAACCTATACGGTTCCCTTCGGAATTGCACGACGAAGACATTGGCGGGGTCAGATGGCACGTCTGCACTGTGTGCTAGCGTGGACGTGGGTTGAAAGTTCGTGTCGCGAATGAAAGTCATGTTTGTCGAGTCGCGCCTGCACGTTCCCTCACATTTTGGTGTTCACTCAGAGTACCGCATTCAAACCCTTCGCAACCAACACCTCTCCAACTTCTGTCGGCCATCTTCCCACTCCCACAATCAACTCGCTATAAAACACCCACACCCCTAACATCCAACTCATTAGGTCTTCTCTTGCTACCAGCAGAGCACTAGGCATTCCCTAGCGCATGGTGCCTATGTCGACGACTACTACCTCTCCTCCAACGCCACCGTCAGTTACCACCGTTGGCAGTTCGCAAACTCTTCAAACCGAGGAACGGGAGTATCTCCCCGACGTTGACCATGCCGTCTTCAAGCACTTCCGCATCATCAAGAGGGTCGAGGGAAAAGCTCAGCAGTACGAGTGCAAGTTCTGCAACAACGTCTTCACTGGTGCTGCCATCCGATGCGCGCAACACTTCAGTTCGTGGAAGGGGATGAAACGCCGTGAAGTGGCGCTTTGCAAGGATGCACCGCAAGATGTGCGTCTGGCCATGCGCGCGAACTATGAGGCAAAGGCTGCTGCGGCCGAAGAAAAGAGGCGGGCAGCAGCTGAAGCGATTGCCGCGGTGAAGGCTAACGGTGGGAAGCGGGCGCGCATCACCGATTACCTTGAGGGGGATGCGGCTGCAAGAAAGAGAGAAGCGGACAAGTCACTTGCGCTTGCTTGGGCCGCCCTCCACATCCCCGAGCGCCACATTGACCATCCTCTGATGGTCAATGCATTGAACAACGTCTCACGCACCAGCGGCGACTACGTCTCTCCCAAGAGGAAATACATCGGCGGTGCTGGCCTTCTCTCGTGTTGCAACGGAATCGAGCAGGGTTTGGTGGGCATTAAGGCGAGCTGGAAGAGGACGGGCGTGACGGTTTTGTCCGACATGATGACGGACCGCAACAACAAGCCGCAGGCCAACGTGCTTCTCGTGAATGATTCCGGCGCCGTCTTCACCGACTGTATTGACTGCAACACGGAGAGGAAAACCGGAGGTTATGTGGCGGAGATTCTTAGGCCCGTGGTGGAGGAAGTGGGTCCAGAGAACGTTGTTGCGTTCTGCATGGACGGGGTAGGCATGAGCAGGGGGCGAACTCGAACATGTTCGTGTTCGCCCCCTGACGAACATGGCCTTCTGCCGAACCGAACAGTGTTCGGTTCGGCGAACGACTTGAGTGAAAATAGGTGTTCGCCGTTCGCCCTAGGAGGCGAACGAATTGCTGCAACAGGCGAACACGAACATGTTCGTGGCGAACATGTTCGTGTTCGCCCAGGGGGAAATTCAATATAGAGTAAAATTCAAATCGTCGCACATTCTCTCCCCCCACCTCCCAAGCCAGTCCCGCCCTGCTTCATCCATCTAGTGCCAGCGTGCAACGGCGAAATGCTAGATCCGCACTTAAGCAGCGGCGAAATGCTAGATCCGCACTTAAGCAACGGCGAAATGCTAGATCTTCACTTAAGCAACGGCGAAATGCTCGATCCGCACTTAAGCAACGGCGAAATGCTAGATCCGCACTTAAGCAACGGTGAAATGCTCGATCCGCACTTAAGCAACGGCGAAATGCTCGATCCGCACTTAAACAACGGCGAAATGCTCGATCCGCACTTAAGCAACGGCGAAATGCTCGATCTGCACTTAAGCAATGGCAAAATGCTAGATCTGCACTTTACTAACTGCGAAAGGCCAGATCTGAGCCCAAACACCAAGGCCCGCGACCTAAAAATTGGTCGCGGGCCTATTTGTCGATGAACACATTGGTGTTTGTCGAAGGCCCGTGTCGAACACGAACACGTTCGTGTTCGACGCGCCTCGGCGAGCTGAGCCGGGCGAACGGCGAACGTGTTCGGGCGAACACCGAACACGTTCGCCCCGAACAATTTAGGCCAAAAAAAAACCTGTTCGGTTCGCCTCGAACACGTTCGAGGCCGAACAGGAGTTCGTCATATTGCTCATCCCTAGACGGGGGGTCGAACTATGCGGTGGCGGGGAAGCAACTTATACGGGAGTGGCCGCACATTCAGGATGTGCCGTGCGCCACTCACGTATTGGACCTTCTCATGGAAGATGTGGGGAAGATGGGATAGGCTAAGCCGGTGGTCGACAAGGGAGGGGAGATATCAAGCTTCGCCCGCAACCACCATTGGACCTGAGGGTACCTGCGGAAGCCGGAATTGGTGGAGGGGAAGGTTTCACAGGCGCTGAAGCCGGCTGGAACCCGATTCGGGACCAACTACATAGCCATATCCCGGCTATGTGCGATGCGCGGCAGCCTTACCAACATGGTGACGAGCGACCAGTGGAAGGAGTGGGCGGTAGGGGACAGGAAGAAATCATGCGACGGGTTCAGTGCGCTGATCCATGATGCCGCCTGGTGGAAGACGGCCGAACTCTTCGTCGCCCTGCTGAAGCTGCCCTACAATGCGATGAGGCATATGGACGGGCATGCCGTGGGGATGATGGGGAGGATGTACGATTTGATGCTGCAGTTGACCGAGGACGTGGGGGACTTGCTCGATGCGGACGAGGAGCAGCTGAGCAACGGGAAGGACCAGATCCGCCGCATCCTCAGAGACCGCTGGGACGGCAGCCTCGCATGCGCTATGCATGTCGCTGGCCGCATCCTCAACCCCGCCAATCAGGAGGAAGATATTTTCGGCACTGATCCCGAGTGCACGAGAGTCTTCAAGGCGTTCATCAGCCAGCAGGCCGAGTTCCTTGAGAGCCGCGGGGATGGGGGGGATGACGCGTGCGACATCTTGCTTGAGCTGGGGGACGGGCTGAGGGCGTTCCTTGACATGAAGGGTTCTTTTGGAATGCCGGAAGCCGTGGCACAGAGGAAGCTGGTGAAAGAGGGAAAGTATAGCATGGTGAAGTGGTGGCAGTGGAATGGGACTGATGCCCCACGAGTGGCGGGGCTCGCGGTACAGGTGCTGTCTCAGTCCGAGTCAGCCTCACCTTGTGAGCGTGGATGGTCATCGTGGGATGCCGTCCACACCGCACGTCGAAACGGGCTCGGATCCGCCAAGTGCAGGGACTTGGTCTATGTTGCTTGCGCACAACTGGAATGTTGTGCGCAACTGGCACATGCGCGCCGATGTCTTGCCATATGTGGTGCCCGGGATTGGAGCGGAGCCTCCAATCCCGACGGGATACAATGGGCTGGAAGACGAGACGAAGAGCAGTCTGCCCCCGGAATCTGGTCGCCTTGACTCTGGTCGCTTGCAACAACTATCAGTGCACCTCCTCACTCCACCGACTGCCCCCTGCCTGTGGCTCTGTCTCTTGGCTCGTGCCTCTTCTCAGGTTACTTTACAACAATCAGCTCAATGGTGCTGTCCCTGCTTCCGTTGCATCCCTCACAAGCTTGGTATATCTGTAAGGTCTTACATAATCCGTCTCCACCCAGCTGTTACTCTTGTGTTTGCTATTTCGTCGACAGTTCTCTTCTCCCCTTCTTTCTCTATCTTCTGTCTCTCCCCTTCAATTGCTCCCTTGTGTTTTTTCTCACCACTTTTGGTTCTCAAACCCGCTCACCATGGTTTGAGTCAGACCAGCTTGGCTCAGCACGAAGGTCGTGTCAAACCTCAGGAGGTTTGCACATGCCTTGTTCTGCCAGCCAGCCCCCATTCGATCAATCCGAAATGGCTTTGACCTGCTCGCATGCCTACTTGGTCCTGACTTCTTTCCCCCCCCCCTCGATTCTTTACTGCAGTGTTCCGTTCTGTTCTTTACCCTCCCGTTCGTTTTCCCCTCAATCGCATCATTACTTGATCTTCACCTCACTTCCCTCACTTGCCTGTGGCTTGTATCCTCTTCCCCATTATTGCCCTGCTTTGTGCCATGTTCCTACTGTTCGTTTTGCTCATGTGTCACGTCATTTACGTTGGGTTCTTCTTACTTATCTTTGGAACGCTTCATTTGTTCTCCATTGTGGGTAATCAGTTAATTCTTTGTTTGAACACGTTGCCTGCTGTCCTGCCTGCCTCTGTTTCACATTGTATCGTATCGTATTATGTGGTAACCCTCTTTTGACAACTCCACGTTCGACTAGCCATTCTCTTAGATCTACGGCTCGCCTTTTTACCTGCAGTGATTTTTCGAATAACCAGCTCTCAGGCAGCATCCCTTCCAGCGTCAGTGCTCTCACTCAGCTCACCACTCTGTGAGTTGCGCTCAACTCAAATGCAGACACGAATAAAAGATGACCCGCACCAAGAAGACAATCGCCCTATGTTTTCTTGGCCCGAGTCGAGCCACCTTGACGAGCCATGCTCCGCAATATCTCGATCAATTGTAGCCGGCCCCGGATTACCGCCCCATACGCACAGGGTGGTTCTTGTTTGACCCGTGTGTATAGCTATGGTGTACGTTAGCCCTTGTCTACAAGTTGCTATGAGTCCGCATGTGAGCTTCACTACAGCCTATGTGAAAAATCAAAGGCATTTGTTTCTCCATTCTTGACCGAAAACAAAGGTTTTGCATACAGCAACTCAATAAGACGATAGAAATGATAAAACAACATAACATTACGGGTGGATTATAAAGTTATATAAAAATATCTATTACTCAGTTCCAATAAATAGGATAACTTGCTGTTGTAACATTTTACGAAGTACCACAAGGTGATTGCTGAATGTGCTGCTGATGCACCTGGAGATGCTGTGAGCAGTTTTTTTCCACCTTGATTAGAGCAGATTTCCCTGTGCGCTTGTTTGTTTTGTTCCTCATTCAAGTCTCACCGTGCTGTGGTTCTTCCAATGAGTGAATTTGGTGATTGAGCCAGACCTCTTTGCCTCTCCTTGCATCTCATCTCGGTGTTGCTCCATTCAGGTACCTGTATAAAAATCAGTTCTCTGGCTCCATCCCTGCTGAAATTGGTTCCATGACCAGACTTGTATACCTGTAAGCCCTACCCCTCGTGTTACATCTATATCATTTCTTTCCTCCCTGTATATCTCAGTTCAGAAGAACGCTTTACTGCCCAGTTTGATCTGACTCAATTGTTGAAACAAATCAGCTGCATCTGTATCTTTAGTCAGATCCCGAGTTGGTTGGGTCCCCAACCCCAACCCCAACCCCGACCCCAACCCATCCAACAGTATCCATAAAAACACCCCCGTGGTTTGGATGATTCCTTGTAGGAATATCTTCATGCTTGCACCTCATACACCTTATTATCCTGCCTGTCATGCTAAAAATATTGCCATGCGATGCTCTTTGAGGTAATACCCTATTCTGTTGTCGATGGTTGTTGTTTGTTTGTTGTGCATCGCAGTTCATTTTCTCTGTTCTCCTACCATTGATTCTCCCATTTTCCCCCACACTGTGCCTCCCGGTCTATTTGACAGCTCTCTCCGCTCCAACATGCTGTCTGGAACCTTGCCTTCCTCCATCACTAACCTCACAGCACTTGCATATATGTAAGCTTAGCTTTGTACAGAAAACATACTCGTTTATCGCCAACTCAAGCGTGAAAAATATCCTTCTCCCCCATGTCAAATCTCCAGAGCCGTAGGAATCTACTAGCTTCCGCTATCGTAGTGCCAATGATACAATCGCCAGCCATGCTTCACAACGCTGTTGCATGCCATTTTGGCTGCCCATTCCTTGCCAACAAGGGTGCATCCCCTCTCCTCATTCCTCTCCACTCTCACCTCTCCTCTCACTGCTCACCCCTGTCCCCTCTCGTCTCTCACCTCTCACTCCCCTATCCCCTCTTCCCGTCTCCAATCTCCCCTCTCCCTGCTCGCCTCTCGCCTCTCCCCTCTCCCCCTCTCCCCCTCTCCCGTCTCGGCCTTCTGACGTAGCTCTGTCGGTGTGTGTGAGGGTTCTGTTCACGTTATCACTCATCACTGCCGTTTTACCACTTTTCTCTTGCAACACATGAGGTTTTGGCAAGTTGAGTATTACCCAGCTCGGTTGGCTGCCTGAGTTATGTATCGAAGAGAAGAGAGTCGAGTGAGGCTGGGCCTGGCCTCCTCGCCTCGATACTCGCTCAAACATATGAGTAAAAATCACGACTGTCCTTACTTCGCCTCCCTGTCCAAGCATTTTGGATTGGCCATGAGCCCATCCATACCTTGTAGTCCACACAGGCTCTCATAGACATTGCAAATATAAAACTTTCAGGCAGCCTTTCTTCTAATTTTGGCAGCTGAGCTGATAAGCTTACCTGTGAGCTGCACACAGCTGTGTGCCAGTCTCATTCAAGACATGCCAAGAGAAAGAACCTGCATTGAGCCAACATTTGGTATTCTTCGCTGGATTCTTCCATTGTTCTTCATCCACTGCAGAACTAATACTTCTTTTGCTTCACTTTTCCTTGCTCATCTTCTCATGAAGTTTTGTATCATGTATCTCCTTCACCATGAATATCCCTCACCCTTGGCGATTCTCAGCGGCTTTCAATCAAGGTTGCTCATTGTCATCGGCTAACTGCCATAACATAACCACCCGCCATTCAGATACCTGCATCGCAACCAGCTCTCTGGACCCATCCCAGAATCCATCACCTCCCTCACTGGTTTGACACATCTGTATGTGACCCGCTCGAACTTGCTCTTTTGCTATCATCCTTCTGCAATTCTGCACTTTAAATGCCATGTGTGAGTGTTTTGTGCAGTTAGAATGTTCCACAACTCTCGCCGTGCTCTCAAAAAATTCTCCACAATTCTCACTAGTAAGATAGCACCTGGAGCTCATTCCTCTGCGTGCCATGCCCACCACACCACTCAGGCCTCTTGTTTTTAACAATCACTCCAGCCCCATCCCTCCAGGCTCCATCCACTGCCTCTCGTGCTAGGCATGAGCAGTTCACCAAACAGTGGTTCGCCTCGATGACGGCTTTTAATTGGGGACACGGATCAATTTGAACCAGGCGCTGCCATATCTTCCACCTTCACTTCCTCTGTGGAGTGTTTTGATGCCCATAAGCCAATCTATTTTTCATTATCCACACCCTAACAGGGAACTTTCATACAACCAGCTTTCAGGCAGCATCCCTTCCGGTTTTGGCAGTCTGAGTCAATTGACTAGCCTGTGAGCTGCACACAGCTGTGTGCCGGTATGAATTAAAATGCCAGAAAAAGAGGTTTCCAGGCCCCAGCACGTACATAGACGCAGCAGCTGGTTCTCAACATTTATCTTTGCTGGATTCTCTCATTGCTCTGCAATTTGGTTTTCTCTTTGCCGCACTACTCTGCCCATTTTCTCTTGGAATTTCTTTGATTGACCAACCGTATCATCCCATGACCACCGCTGTTCAGATATCTGCATGGCATGAGCAAACGGTGAACCCGAACTGGTTCACCTCCAACATGCACGAACATGGTTGAAACCCAAACTACACACATTCGGTTCGAGTCGAGCCTTTGTTGGCATAGAAGGTGTTCGGTGTTTGAATAGGAGAGTCGAACATGTTAATGTTTGGGACTCACATGTTCAGGTTCGGTTTGGAGTTGGACTTGGTAGAGCAGAATGGGCATGGGAAAGAATCAAAACCAATGCAAACTCGTAATTACTTGCTTTGCCTACCAAAAATAAACACCAACACTAACTGTGATGTGCTGGTTTCCAGTCAAACATCCTACTGTTGAACCCAAATCCTAAGACTTGCATTAGAAATCCGGCACAGCTCGGATTCCAAACACTATCACCTGTCTGTTCTTGCCTTTTTGCCTCACACAAATTCATCCTTTTGCAATTGCTTCTTACCAGTCAAAGGTCTACTCTGAATCCACTGCACTGCGTGCTATGCCACTGCATGCCACTCAGGTTACTTCATTCCAACAATCTTTCCGGCCCCATCCCTCCATCCATTGGCTCTCTGCTCAACCTCGTTAACCTGTGAGTGCCGCCCTTTCTCTCCTTCTGGATTAACTGCCTTTCCTCTCATGCTGCCAGCTAGCTCGTCATGAGAAGACTTCACACCTGGCATAGACCTAGCTAAGGCCTGTTGTAATAAGCCGGCGGCCCAGATCCGACCCAAAAATCGTTGCACGCCTGCCACACAAGCCCACAAATCCGTCATTGAGCCCCATTGCCGCCCAAACCAAGGGCCTACAGGTAATGGGATCTGCGTTTTGAAACATGTGCATCCGTAAATGTTCATTTGCCTGTTTCGCCTGATCCTTGGTGTTTACCCTGCGATACGCTCTGCATGCTTCCTCCAGCAATATCTCAAACAACCTGCTCACTGGCAGCATCCCTGCTGGCATCGGTGCTCTCACCCAGCTAACTTACTTGTGAGATTTGTACACACGGAGTGGTTGAGTGCCTGTCCTTACTTGCCCTGGCACGATTCGCACGGATCAGGCATACAGTCATGCATGTAAGATGCGAGTAACACAGGCAACACTGGCATAGGTTTTTGTAGAATATGTCACAAGCACCCTCCGTTAGAGACATGAGCAAAACATGAGTCGAACTGGGCCCGCTCATGCCAAGAGGTTCCCGTTTGCCCCAGGATACAGCCTGGCGACTCAACAACTCACATATACTATGCTTGCGTTCAGTTGTGTCAGCACCAAGTTTAATTTTCGGTTGTGACACGTCACTGTCACATCTTGCGGTTCGATAACCATGAACTTCCTGTGAGCGACACTTCCTGAAATTTCAGTAACAGTGGAGTTATTGCACCTTCAAGGCACACATTGTTGTGCTGCTGAAAGCATTCTGCATGCTTGGTGGCGCATGGTCTTTTGTTCCAGACCTTTGCCTTTTGTCACATCTTCTCTGCATCTATCTTCACACGCCACCCCTCAACTTCTATGTTCTCAGGGGTATTCAGGAGAATGCGCTCTCTGGCACCTTCCCTTCTACCATTGGCTTTCTGACGAAACTTGTTGCTCTGTAAGGCCCTCATGATCCCTCTCGCTGCTTTCCTGATGCCATACCGTCTCTACTTCAACCAGAATCTACCATGCCTGTTACGGTGTATCCCTCAGTGACGCATCACTCAACCTGCTCCTAATTTCTCCACTCCACTCTCGCCCCTCTTCTCCCTCACCCATTTTGCCATCCGTTTGCAAAATGAGGCCGTAAGAACCATCGGCTGTTCTTCCCAATGCCCCAACCACCAGATCCCTCGCTTACAACCAGCTCTCTGGACCCATCCCTACCTCCATTGGCTCCCTCGCCACCCTAACGTACCTGTAAGACACGCCGCGCCTCTCCCTCTCACCTGCTTGCTTCCTTCCTCCAACTAACTGCCTTCCCAACAACTTCTCGGGCTCCATCCCTCCCTCCATTGCCTCACTCAGCCTTTTCAATGCCCTGTGACTGCCATACTGTCATTTTCAGTCTGCTACTGCTACTGCTGCTTTGCCTTTCCTCCGGTGCTGCTACTCAATTCTAGTGTTCTTCTCAAGAGCTATATCCAAAGCCTTCCGCAAGGCACCGGTACGTCTCGATTCATTTATCACTACCCAACCTTGACTCCACTGTCTCTCCTCTTCCCCCAGCGATCTGAGCTCCAACCAACTGTCTGGTCCCATCCCCGAGGAGATTGGTGCCCTGCTCGCCCTCACTAGACTGTCAGTCTCTTATTGCAAACACAGTGCAACCGCTCTCTTCATTACAGTTCCCCCCCTGTCCTTCTTTGCCCTTATTCAACCAAGAATCAACCACAATTTGTGGAGGGTACAACCAACAACCTTCACCTAAACAATTCTAGCATATGTATGTAGTAATAGAACATTACAACACCACAAACGTGTTGCAACGTGTCCCTTCATTTCCCTTCCCCACCCTTTGTCACACTAGCCCATCCGTGCCATTATTTGCCCTTCCTCTCCTACACACACCTTATTATCATCCTGTGCATCTCTCCGCCCCTCAGTTTTGTTCTCCTCACTTCTTGTCACTCGCCCGTTCGTCCTCTGCCCTGCATGCCTGTCTCGCAGTGATCTTTCGGACAACCAGCTTTCAGGGAGCATCCCTGGGAGCTTGAGTGGACTCACTCGATTGGCAATCATGTGAGATGCACTCACATTATCCTTCATGAGTATCCGTCAGACATCACAGCCCGGTTTGTGGGACCCTGTTTGTGGGACCCTGTACACTTGTCACATCGGATCTGGACAGCTGTGTATGCAGTTGGATTAAAAAATGCTGGCTTTGGTTTTCTACCTTGAGATCAAGATATTAAAATCAAAACAAGTCTGGTTACATAATGTGTTCATGCCCACACAACACATCAAGCACACAGAACTCTACCTGCTTCCAACATGAATTTCCTATACATGCCTTAGAATGGGGTGCCAGACCAGAGGGCCTGCCCTATCCAATGCTGCTTCGCAGTGAGGCTGCTCCTCCAGAGAGACTCCTTCCTGCTGAGTGGTGGTTTGTAGGGTCGTCATTCTCATTCATTTCTTCCCGGCTGTTTCAACCCCACCCACCCATGGTCTCATTCAGAAACCTTTCCGACAACCAGCTTTCAGACAGCATTCCTGCTAGCTTGAGTGCTCTCACCAAATTGTTCTACCTGTGAGATACAACACCTGGTGGTTCACTCACTTTGGTGTTATGTGTACCAGTTCGGCGCTACATGAATGTGCAGTCTGTGCATCCCAGAAGTGAAGTGATCCACCATGCGTTTGAAACAGGAATTGTTTGTGTCCTAGTTTAAAATATTTCTCCTATCTTGCACCACTTTCACCTGACGCAACAACAGTAGTTTACTCTCCTGTATGCACGTGACGCGTGCATGCACCAGTCTTTGTCTCGGGTGCCTCCATGTGCATGTGTGCATTCATGCCTCTGAGGGCTCTAACCTTCCTTTGGCATTCTGCGCTTTCTGCCCTTCTCTTTCTCAGATCATTATCTACGAACCAGCTCACCAGCTCTATCCCAGCTGAAATGGGCTCCCTGGGGTCACTGACAGTTCTGTAAGACTCCAGGCTATTGACAGCCATTACATTCAGTTCGATGCCTGCTGTACTCACTTTGAACTCATGAGGCCATGGTAATCAATGGGTGTTATTGCTATCACTAACACCATGGCCGTTATTTTTTGTGACCAATAGCAATAAGTGGGCCGTTTTGTTTTGTGTTTACCAACATCACCCTGGTTCAATCACAGGTATCTATACAGAAATCAACTTAACGGCTCTATCCCTGCCACCATTGGCAGCCTGACATCTCTGGCCTCCGTGTAAGGCCTCGCCTCTTCTTTCTTTTCTCCCCTCTCCACTTTCCAACTTGCACTGCCTGGTGTCCTCCAGTTTCGTATCAATCCAATTGAAAAGCAGCATGCTTCTCTGAGCTTGTCTCTTTGGATTATGCTGTCTGTGTGCCAGGATCGCACTCCCACTCAAGAAAGTGTCTTGCTTGCACCTCACTTTGCACACACTCCGAGTCAGCCTGGCCTTTCGGCTGGTGGCTAGAGACCTAAACCTGGGCCACAGTTGGGGCACAAGGACTCATGTGTATTCATAGCACAACTGGCTAAGGATTTTGCGCTTAAAGTAGTTTCCGTGTCTTGCTCTCGTCTAAACTTTGTGTACACGTACACCTCCCCCTCCCCCCCCTTTCATACTTCCCTTGCTGTCAATGTCAACAGGTATCTCTACTCGAACATGTTGTCAGGGTCGCTGCCGTCCTCGATAACAAAACTTACAGCGCTCACCAGTTTGTAAGCCTAACTGCCCCTTGTGGGGCTATGCATGCTCTTGTTCTGTCTAGTTTTATCAAAACTTCACACTTGGTAGTACCATCAAGCCTGAGCATCTGGATTATGTCACTACCGGGCCTACACTCCCCTGTCTTCAACTCCCTAGCATCCGCAAGGCCTGCAAGCATTACTAGTCGAAACTGTAGCATCTACATTCTTGTACCAAGCAAACAGGGTTGCTGCTTCACCATCTCTTCTCAACTCTGGCGCCCGTCACTTGCTTTGTCGGTTCCTCCTCATGTTGCCTCTACTCTACAACAGCCTGGCTGCACCCCACTCATGAATAATTTCTTTACCAATGTCACCAAATATTGAGTAGTTGCATATGTGGTGACAGTTTTTTTGGGGTGGATGTAGCGAGGAATCCAAGAGTTTTGTGTCGAAGTTGCTGAGGGGGCAGCAAGGCCTGAGCTTGGAAAATCGGTGGGAAGTGCTATTAAGGGCAAGCAATTTTAGAATTGCCTGAAGCGCACATCAAGGCCTGAGCTTGAACTGTGAAGGAGAGAGCTGCACGAGTGTGTTCGGTAACTTGCCATAGAGGGCCTACGGAGGCAGGAAAGAGCATTATGGAAGAACGTGGAAAGGAAGAAGAGAGGAGAAAGCGAGAGGGACCATTTTTAACTTTGCATACATGTCCGATTACTGGCTGCTGCCTCTCCTTGTGCTGTTGCATTCAAAGAGGCTATACCTCCATGTACATCCCCGAATAATAAAAAAAAAAAGATTACCTGTCGCCTGACCTGACTCAACTAAATATTTACTCCAATTACCCTTTTTTCTTCTCAGGGTTCTTGACAACAATCAGCTCACTGGCTCTATTCCATCCGCCATAAGCTCCCTCTCAAGACTATCATACCTGTAAAGCACTTCCTTTCTTCATCAAATACTTTTCCTCCTCTTGCCCCTGTCCTCAATCCCCTCTTCCCCCTTCGTCTCAATCCCACACACTTCTCTCTGTGTCATCACCACCATTTGGAGAAAAGAGATATGAACGTTTTCGTGCCACTTTATTGGACTAACCTTCTCCCTGTCGACCCAAATCCTTATAACAATCAGATCACTGTCTCGCAACCAGCTCTATGGACTCATCCCTGACTCAATCGGCTCCCTCACCAAGTTATCTGTCATGTACGTAGTGCCCAGCAACTTAGCTGCAATATGAAGTTCATCCAGCAAAGCGTCTCTGCGCGTTACACTGCTCTGATTGTTGATAAGGATTTGGGTCGATTATGAAGCTGAAATATCATGTAGGTGGGCACTTCCAGTGGCCACCCACTCCGCCAATGCAGTTTCTCGTCCAGCAAAGCGTCTCTGCGCGTTCTGATGCTGATGAGTCTGCTTTTCACACACGTGATTCTTTCTCTCCTGCCCGCTCCACCATAATCTCCTCCTGACACCATCAGGAGCCCATGTGCTTACTTTCACCCTAAATGCAAACATGTGCCGGCCTCACATGTCTCCAAGCGTTCTCAATCTGGCCATTCTTTCTTTTTTTTTTCCGCCCTGTCTCTCCACCACCACATGGGCATCAGGGGTCTTGCCTCAAACAAGCTGTACGGCCGCATTCCTGTCAGCTTCTCCAAGCTCACACACCTCACCTTTCTGTAAGCCACCACACCACTCTTTGCACCGTAAGCCTCTTCATCAGTACTTCCGCACCAAATACTTCAGCGTAGCTACTACTGTCAGCCTCTGGCACAATGATTGGTTTGTTGCAAGCCATGGGCTCCAGTGATTTCAATTTGATGGCCCATGAATAAACTCCCCAGGATCACACATCTTGGATCAATTTGCCTGGTGGCGAGGTGATAATCTGCTTAATTACTTTGCAAACACTTATCCTCCTCACTTCCTGGGTCTCTCTTTCGCTCCCCCTCTCCTCTCCTTCTCCCAGCAACCTCTCCAGCAACTACCTTGCCAGCCCCATCACGCTGCCCGCCATCAGCACCCTGCGCCTCTCCAGCAATTTTCTTTATGGTCCTCTGCCCAACGGGACATGCCAGGCTCTCAATTTCGATAGCAACTGCTTCACACTTTCGTCTGGCTGCACTAATGTGGTGCAGCGGCAGGAAGCAGCATGCAATGCATTCTGTGGCGTCTCCACTGCAGCTGCTGCTGCTGCTCCTTGTGGTGGAGGAGGGGTGTGCGTTCCAGACCAAGTTACCCTGGTCCCAACCTGTCTGTGCGATGCGGGGTACATCCAATCTGGAATTTTCAACTGCGTGGCTGACGGTAGGGAGCTCCCTGGTCGCAGCACACACAGAATTGGGGCAGATGCAGTAGGGGTGGAACATGGCATGGGCACTCTTTCTGCAAGGGATGCGAATGCGTGTGCCCTGCCATGTCACTGCATTACACCCTTCGTCTGATATATCACTGCACTGGTATTGCTCTCAAGACGCCTCACTTCATCATCATCTGCCATGATTAGGAATTCTCAGATTTCCTCTCATCCATTATAATAATGCTTGTGTGGCCGGCATGTATGCAGGCAGCACCAACAGCACCTCAGACAGCACCAACAGTACCTCGGGCAGCACCAACAGTACCTCGGGCAGCACCAACAGCACCTCGGGCAGCACCAACAGCACCTCGGGCAGCACCAACAGTACCTCGGGCAGCACCAACAGTACCTCGGGCAGCACCAACAGCACCTCAGGCAGCACCAACAGTACCTCGGGAAGCACCAACAGTACCTCAGGCAGCACCAACAGCACCTCAGGCACCACCAAAAGTACCTCGGGCAGCACCAACAGCACCTCGGGCAGCACCAACAGTACCTCGGGCAGCACCAACAGTACCTCGGGCAGCACCAACAGTACCTCGGGCAGCACCAACAGCACCTCAGGCAGCACCAACAGTACCTCGGGCAGCACCAACAGTACTTCAGTCTGCTTGTCTATTGTCCCGCCAACAACTGTGCTCACCAAAGGGACCCAGAAGGAGACGGGGGGGGAATTCACCTCGGATCCAGTGCCTCTGTTTGTGTACGGGGCGGGACAGGCGGTGTCGGGGTGTGGAGTGCAGCTCGCCTTCCAGGCCAACTTCACCTTCTCCCTCGCCCCTCAATCCGGCCGTGCTGGCAACAACGGCTTCGCCTTTGTCGTCTCGGCAACGGACCGGGTGGGGAATGGATCTGGTGTGGGGTATGGTGGCATGGACACCCGCAGCATGGCGGTTGAGTTTGACACGCTGCGGGACAAGCTGCATGGCGACATGAGCACCCCGCACGTGGGGCTGAACATTCAAGGCCAGGACCAGTCAATAGCCGCTGTGAAGTCGCCGTTTCAGCTGACCAACAGAAAGGCATACACGGCGTGGGTGGACTATGAGCCTGGGGAGCCCGGCACCATCCAGGTGTTCCTGGCTGCCACGGAGGTGAAGCCAGCTCAGCCGCTGCTGGAGAGGAGGCTGGCGCTGTGTGAGGTGCTGCAGGCTGGAGCGGAGCAGCAGGCGTTCTACTTTGGCTTCGTGGCGTCCACCACTGTGAAGCCGTTCCAGATGCATCTCATCCTCAAGTCAGGAGTTCACACTGGTAAAAGCAGCTCTAATGTAATGGTGGTAGTGGTGGTGATGCTCATGGTGATCATTACAGTGATGCTGATGGTGATGGTGAGGAGGAGGATGAACTGGTGATATGCTCCTTTTTCAGTATGCTTTGAGTCAGATTGATGAGTTATGGCTGCCATGCCTGTATGTCCTCGTCCTTCTCTTTTCTGCAGGCCTTCCAGCTCCACGCAAGCCGGTAGACATCATTCCAGGTGATCAACCCGATCCCAGGAAGACATGCTTGAAAAACAGTTATCCTTCTCGTCACCTCTCTGCATAAGTGTCATTCGGTCTCTTTTTCCAGCACTCAATGCTGTTTTTATTGTGCAATGCATAGCGCACTCTCTTTCTCTGCCTTGCCCTTTTTTTCAGAGATTTGAAAAAAACAACTCATGGACACATGAGCAAGCACCCACATGTCTTTTCATCTCTCCTCCTTTTCTGCAAACCCACTTTTCCTGCCCAGCCTTTGGTCTGACTCTCTCTGTGGCGTCATATGCGCCAGTGGGAGCCAGTCCCTTCATGCGCTACATGAGTGCGGACTACCGAGTGTTGGCCAACCAGCAGAGTGCATGGCAAGTCAGCGGCTCCCACTCCTGGGACTCCATGCCCTTCCTCGGCTGGCCGGTCAAGAACCAAAAGGACTGCAGTGAGTGGGAATGAGGAAGGTTTGGGGTATATGGATTGGAACAGTTTTTTTGTTGTACTTTTTACCCCGCTGGCACTCTCTCTGTATCAGTGATACTCCTTTTTATTCAATGAACTCCTGTGTTGCATCTCCCTTTCAGGTGCGAGTTGGGCGTATGCGGTGGTGGCGAGTGTGGAGGCAGCGTACGGCATTGCGCTGAACAGTGAGGCGCCACGGCTGTCAGTGGACTCACTCTTTGCAGCCATGGGGCTCACCTCCCTCACTGCCAAGTGCATGGCAGGCGGCTCTCCTGCCGCGGCCTTTGAAAGGCTTATCACTCTGCCCGCTGGTGGACTCACAACAGACAGCAAGCCGGTAGGAACGAGCTTTGAGTGAGAGACCAATGTAAACCAGAAACCCTGTGCAAGCATAATCGAGTGACCATACCAAAATGTAGACAGCAGCATAGCAGTATATGCAGGTAGATGTGCGGACAGTGCCCTTGAGAAAAAGATACACGGGTAGCACAGCAAGTGGACAGAAACATTTGGCTGTGAGGTCAGCAAGTTTGCATTTGAATCTACCCTTGGTTGGTACGCATGCTGTGTATGCAAACTTTGCTTCTTAACAGGCTTTGCACGTCACCTTTAAACCCTTTCCTTTTTCCTTTCCAAATCTCTAGCCCTCTTGCTGGTTGCGGTGTTACGACCACTCATTCATTTATCTCCCATTATACGCTGTTTGCTCCCCAGCCATCGAAGTACCCCATCCAGGGATTTGAGCGCACGCGGTTTAAGGGTCATGTAGGGCTCATGCTGGCAGTGCGACGACAGCCAGTGGTGGTTCACATTGAAGCCTCTTCTACCTCGTTTGTACAGTACGACGGGGTGAGTATTGATACTCTGATCATGTGGTCATATTGCAAGTTTCCTTGTAGGCATGCCAATGGGAAGTCCTTGTCATGCCTCAGGCTAAGGCTCAATTCCTCCTCTCTTGAAACCGATAAGACCTTCAACTGACATGGGTGCTCCTATTGGTGGCCACATGGAACCGATATAGGAAACCGCATGTCTCATATGACCGCATCTGTGTCTACCTTCCCTGTGCTCACCATCTCCTTCTCTCCTCCAGACTTTCAAGTACCAGGATCCTGCCTGCTACACTGGCAACCTGGACCATGCTGTACTCGTTGTTGGGTACCTCCTTTTCTCAAATAACGGCCGCCCGAGCCAAACTGCTCCACCGTTTTGGATCATCCGCAACTCGTGGGGATTGGAGTGGGGAGACAGGGGCCACATGCGCATGGACATTCAGGGAGGGGATGGTGTGTGTGGCATCAACGTGCTGCCTGGCATCTACCCCATTGTCAAGAGTGAGGCATCTACCCCATTGTCAGGAGTGAAGCATGCACCATGTTGCCACTAGTTTCTGTTTGCAACAATATGAATACTTTCTGTATTTGCTCAGCGGGCAGAGACACCTTCACAGTTTTGAATTCGGCCCACTTACATGCTTGTCCCATTTTTCACACACGCTACCTTTCCAGTTCCCAAGGACCCTTGCGGCCAGAAGAGCTACAAGGGCAATGGGGATTTGCAGCCCAGCATGAACCCGTGCGGTCGCTTCACATGCCAGGCGAACACGAAGACCAACAGCAACACCTGCAACTGCACCATACCGAACGAAACCAAGCAGCCCTTTGTTGCAGTTCCGATTGGGCCTGGCTCCAATACTTGTGCATATGGTGAGTCGTTCTTGTGGCTAAACATGTCGCTCTGAACCAATCATGAGTCGTTTTCACACGTACTGCTCTTCCCTTGCGGTACGCTTGGAGATCCTCAAATGCATCCATGGCATGGTGGTAAACGTAAACCTCTTTCATCATATCTGGATCTTAAGGCAGGGCGTCTGCTCCTTCATCTGCCCTTTTAAATGCTGGCAGGTTGTCGTTTGAATGCTTTAAATCTCAACGCAGGTGTCCTCCACCCCCCCCCCCCCCTCCCCCCCCCCCCCCCCCCGTCCCTCCCCTCCCCGCCCTCCCTCCTCTCGTTTCCCCCACCATCAATCCCTCCTCTGCCGCGCATGTCCTCCCTGCTGCAAATCCAACAGTTGATGTGTGCGGTTCCTACTCTAGCAACCCCTGCGCTGTGGGCACATGCATCAATGACGGCAAGGGTGCCTACTCCTGCATCTGTCCTCCTAACTACGTTGGCAGCATAACCCTTGACAACCTCCCCACCTGCGACCCAGGTGCTGTTTCATTGCTTTTTTTATAACCGTCTAGATCCACCCTCCTCAGTACTTGATCTATGATCTTCTGCATTCTCTTCACACCTTCTCTTCTGTACCTGCCTCCTTCCTCCTCTCCTTGCTCCAGCCAACACCACGGCCTCCAGGTTGACAGTCACTGGCGCCAATTGGCTGTGCTCGGATGTCTTCCCTGCGGCTGGCGTCTCCTTGGCTGGCTTTGCATCGCAAAACATGGTAAGAGGGGCAAGTCATGGGCGCACTTGCATTGAAACGACAAGTTGAGTGGTGGCAACGGTACACATTTACAATAGGCTTGTAGGGCGGGTGGTCTCCAAATGTTGAGGCCCTCCTTCTGATGTATCCACCACCACACTCTATCTCTAATCAGTTTTGCATGTTCTTTCACATGCAGGGCATTAACTGCAGCCAGCCTTTGCCTGCGGGCAAGGTGATTGGGGTGGGAAGCGTCACCCCCTGCACTGCATTCTTCTATGCCCTCAAAGTGAGCCTGGACCAAGGAAGCGGAATATATTACTCTTGCTTGAAGGAAGAACCCTTCCTCTATCCAATTCCCACTCTTCCCAACCTTCTCACCTTCTTAAAGGAAGTTTTATCTCTGTCATCTGTAGCTGGAGACGACCCATTGTTAACGTGTATCATCTGCACTAAGTCGTCTTGTCTCCTCCCTCCCCCACTTTATCCTCCAGGGTGATACCTGCTCCTCTATCAGCGTCCAGCTGGGACTCGCATCAACTTACCTTGCCTCTCTCAATCCCGGCCTGGACTGCTTTGAGCCCATCAAGGCGGGCCGCTCTCTCTGCATCGAGCGCAACGCCACCTTCGCCTTCACCGTCCCTCGCTGCTTGCAGTACGGCATGCTCTCAGCTCAGGACACGTGCGAGAGCCTGCTGCAGCAGAGCAAGGACTCTAGTGGGGATAAGAACACAGGAGCTGAAGTGGTGACTGCAGCCAGCTGGATTGGTCTCTACCGCAACAATCCCGGCCTCATCTGCCCCCGCACCACCCCTGCCTCCAGTGCCACTGTTGCCAGCACTCAGGTGAGGGGTGGAAGGTCAATGTCAGATAATATGGTAGGTTTTCAGTTTTATGTGTTCTTCTAGTCCTTGCATTCTAAATTCCAATTGTTTCGATTGCACTGTATCCACCTTGTATCCAGGTTTGTCTCAAGGCCGAGTACGAGTCCATCAATACTAACACCTGCAAGGTGGGCAGGCTCAAGGTGGTCTCACCACTGCTCACATGCCAAGGTGCTTTCAGCTTCTTCGGTGGAGCTAAAGCTGGACCAGCTGCAAAATTTACTGAATACAATGGGAAGGCATGCTCCGAGACCGTAGGGGTTACATCTATTTGTGTGCCGTATTGACTCTTTTAGCATTGGGTGGGTGAGGCCTTAAGTTCCGTAATCTCCCAAATTCCAGACCCCCTGCAACAGAAGACCACCGAGGTCTGTGATACGGGTTTTATTTCGCCAAGTTTGTACTATTCTCCCCTCCTTTCCCAACTCCCTCCCGCTCTCCTTCCCTCCCTCGAAGGCACTGTGTTTTAGGGATATTTGTTGCATTCTTGTGTGGTATCCTAGCTTGATCAGCGTGTGAACAGAGTTACCGTCATCACCCGGATAACGGGATACTGCTAAGACAATGGTGGTTCATCTGATAAAGGGGGGAGAAAGGTGCCTTACGGTATTAGTCTTATTTAGGGGAAACACTCAGATAAACAAATTGCTCTCAAACAACTGTATAAACACAGAATCAGCTTACCACACATCAACCAATGTTAGGGAGGTTGTGACATTGTTAGAGACGCTGCATTGGGAGGAAGACGCGGTAGGTGAAAGGGGAGGGATACAAGCATAGAGTCGAGAGAAAATGTGTATCCCCTAACATGCACCTCACTGAAGGCTAACTAAAAAACTAACAACTACCGTCATCGCCCGGATAGCAGGCATGTATGTCTTATCTCGTACACTACTCAAAATGCTTGGTGTCTTATAAATCTTATAAATGGAAAGAAATATAAGAACTCTATAACATTTGCAAGTGTGTGGAAACCACCCAGGTACCATACCATTACATCTTTGAAATAGGACGACCTCGGTGGTGATGCATGCAGCGCCTCTACTTGCCACGTAAGGGATGCAGCAAAGCTGCCACTGCTGGCAATATCCCTCCGTGCTGGCATCATCTAATGATGCTGCCAGCATCGTTTTGCTGCCAGCAGCGCATGGATGCTTCCAGAACGCTGTTGGCAGCACGATGGCAGCGTGAAGGCTGTCCTCTACGAGGAGATTCCTCATAGAGGAGGCTCGGCACCTTTGGAAGGGGCACTCTGGCTAGGGGGGGGGGGGGGGAGGGGGGGGGGGGGTAGCCGGGCTTGAGCTTCATTTGGTGTTTAAGGAGGTTGAGATCTCAACTCAACCTTTGCTCTCGGCAGGCTTACCGTAACCATGCGCAGCAAAGTCCCCACAGGTACATCCTCACCTCGCCCTCAGGTGCAGGTGAATAACTACGGGCAAATTAACTCGCCCGGTGATGACATCCGTGTAGCCATGGCAAAGAATACGCGCAAGCGGGAAGATCTACCGTCGCCTCCAGTGCGAGCTGTGACGGGGACGACGGCGACGAAAGCGACGAAGAACACGGCAGCGACGGCGAGGAGGATTGGCCGGAGAACGGCCACGACGACGGCGCTTTGGGGGATGAAATAGCTCCTGCCAACATCGACGAGGACAAATGGTGGAATCGGCCAGTTGGGAGTGACAACGAAGTGGAAGAGTGGCGGGCTGGTGAGTCGGACAATGACGAGGGTGCCAATGCTGATGGTGAGCACGCGGAGGCAGCGGCGCATGCAACGGGAGCGATGGTGGATGCGAATGCGGAGGCTGACGACGAGGCGCATGCGGAAGCGAGGACAGAAGAGAAGGCGGAAGCGGATGCCGATGCTGTTGCGCCCGCGGATGTGGCCGCAATTGCGGATGCGGATGCGGATGCTGCGGAGGGAGGTGTTGATGCTGTCTTCTTTGACGGTGAAAACTCCAATGAACCCGTGGAGCATCACGGGTGACGACGATGTTCCGCTACTGGCGGAGGCTGCGTCATCGCCTACAGTCCAAGCCGAAGCGTGCCCGCGTGGTGCTCTCTGATGACGACAGTCCGGGGGAGGAGCGTCAACCGCGCATCACTGCTCTAGACAAGGGGAAAACCAAGGTCGTGGAAGCCCCTGCTAAGGCCACCGTTCGTTGCCGCACAAGAGGAAGAAGCGGAAGAACGACGGCAACCCCGGATCCAGCACGGGTGCTGCTAAGACGAAGATGAAGAAAACGCCAAACAAGGACGAAATCGTGGTCAACGAGGCGCTCGGCAGCGACGATGACTACGCGGAGGCAGCAGGCCCAATTCTTCCTTTCCCTTGAGAAGGCCAAGCCAGAAGACCCTACCCTGCATAATCCCAACTCCCGTCCACCTTCCCCTCGTAGCAATGACAGTAAGAAAAGGCGACGCGGATGGACCGTACGCGGGAAGCTCAAATGGGCGCACCGCTGCCAGGAGCTCGGCACCTTGAAGAAGACATCCTTGGAATCTACTGCATCTATTGCCTGCATCAGACGCTAGAGTGCGGAGGCCGCTACGGGCGTCTACAAAGTAGCGGCGAACTGCTACAAGCGGAAGCACGGGGGGGGGCGCCACGCACACTGCCCCGACATGGAGGCGGCGTTGTACCTCTACGTCTGCTTGCAGCGCGCTAATGGGGTGGCGATCTCGGTGAAAGACACCCAGAAGTGGAGCCGCGAGTGGATGAAGAAACACCACCCCAGCAAGAACTGGAACGCGAGCTCTCACTAGAGCCAGCATTTCCATGACCGCTGGAACCTGGTCATGCGTGTGAAGACCAAGGTCGGCCAACGGTTATCGGATGGTGAGTGTTCAAGGCCTTGAATTCGCGCTCGATGCTTGACTGCATGTTCCTTGCCCTTTGCTTCTAATCATCCCCTCTTGCCGTGGTGTGTGTTCCCTTTGCAGAGTGCACTAAGGACTGCGAGTCGTTCTTGAAGTTTGTGTGCATCAACAGGCCGTGGCACAACATCGACCTAGCCCGCATCATCAATGCTGACCAGACGCCACTCTTCATTGAGATGCCGGCCGAGAGGACGATTGAGCACCGTGGCGCGCGCTCGGTCCCAATCCGCACTGCAGGATGCGAGAAGATGCAGCTCACGGTGATGCTCGCGTGCACCGCATATGAGGAGAAGCTGCGCCCTTGGGTTTGGTTTAAGCTAAAGAACGTGCCCAGCTGTGAAATTTTGGAAGGTAAGCTCAAGGAATTCGGGAGCCGTAAGCCTAATGAGCTTGCCCTCCTTGACTGACGCCCGTCGATCCCCTATGTGCCTGGCAGGAATCGTATGCCAAGCACAGGACAACGGGTGGATGGACGAGAGCGTTGTGCAGACCTGGCTGACCAAGGAGGTGCTGCCCCATCTGAACTTCCAACGTGGCCAGAACGCAAGGCGTGCGATGCTGGTGTTGGACTCCTACCGCGGCCACATCACCCAGACCATGCTTCAAGCTTACCGCACACACAACATCACCCCTACAGTGATCCTAGTGGGTTGCACGAGCCAGATTCAACCCCTTGACGTCTCCATCAACTGGTGCTTCAAGGCTGCTGCGCGAGCGCGCTATGCCAGGTGGTTCATGCGTGAAGAGATTCACCTGAAGACGAAGAAGGGTGAGTAGCCTTTTGAATTAAACTTGTGCACTGTTTTCTTTCCATGTCTCTAACGGCTCGCTACCCCTGCCTTTGTCCCACCTGCAGGGAACCTGCGGATGCCTCCGCACCCGTGGTGCTATAGTGGATCGTGGAGGCATGGGATCAAGTCCCTAAGAAGGTCATCATTGACGCGTTCCGCCACTGTGGGATTTCAAGCAAGCTGGACGGGACGGAGAACCACCTGGTGATGTCTCACCTGCACGCCAGGAGCACCACCGATGTCTCCGAGGACATGTGCCTCGGGGGAACCACGGGCGACAACACGCGCCTGCTTGGGCAGGCGCCATAGGAGGAGGAGGAGGAGGAGGAGGAGGAGGAGGAGGAGGAGGAGGAGGAGGAGGAGGAGGAGGAGGAGGAGGAGATGCAGGCGGAGGGCGTGAGGGAGGTGGCTGTGGCAACCGGCCTGGATGTGCTGTACCAAGAGACCCCCAACTACCACGGAGCGGCGGCTGAGGCTGACCGCATGATCGAGCCTAGAGAGACGGCTAGGCATGCCTGGCGAGTGCCAGACCTGGGTGTTAGGGAGCCTGCTGTTAGTGCAGGTGAGGAGGCTGTGATAGAGGAGGGCTAGGTAAAAGTAGATATTCATAGATGTATGCATGTACCCCCCTAACGTTACTAATTACCGTTTAGATGACACCCACTGATTATAAGAAAACCCCTAAACCCTTGTTCTGATTATAAGACATATATTTCTTATCTCGTACACATAAATAGGTGTCTTATAATGAGGCTAGCGTGTATATAAGAGACACCCAGATAATAGAAAACCCCTGTCTACTATTCAACACTGTCTACTATCCGGGCGATGACGGTACGAATAAAACTTTGACACACCCCCATAGCATAAATGAGGGGCATCACAATGATCAAGAAGTGAGTGGTCATAAGACCAGTTTAGAGAAGAAACAAAACAAAGCTCATGGTGGATCTCAAGTGTAGGGGTGAGCAAAGAAACGAATACGTGGCGAACCGAACAGGTTTTGATTTTTTGCTTAAATTGTTTGCCGAACACTGTTCGAGGTTCGCCCGAACACGTTCGTGCTCGTGGCGTTGCTACAGAACGCCCCGTCTCGAACACGAACTTGTTCGAGGTTCGCCCGAACACGCCTTCACAGGCGAACGCCGAACACTGTTCGGTTCGCCGAACGGCCATGTTCGTGCAAGGACAAACGCGAACATGTTCGAGTTCGCCCTTTGCTCACCCCTACTCAAGTGTTATAGTCACAATAGGCTCAAATGTGCCTAAAACGAAAGATGGAGTGCACAGTCGGATTTCTGCACAGCAGCTTTAAACGTTTATAGCGTTCTGGTCACAGCTTCAAATGACCTGATTCAAATTGGATCTGGAGCGTCTAAACGTCGCCTACAATAAGCAATTAAGATCGCACGATTTCATCAAGTATTGACGATGCAACGTCAGCTTGAACGAACGGCACTATGGCAGCCACTATAGTCCTAGAACACAAATTATGAAGAGTTACGAGTTGGGAATGACTCCCAGCCTCTACAAACCCCGAGAGCTGAGGTACAGTGATGTGGAACAGTGCCACACTATCCCCAACCAAGAAGAGTCTTAAAACTGCCCTCCACAAGAGAAATGTTACACTACACATAGTAATGTAAATATTCTCAATATCTTGAAGTTTACTCCTTTTGGCGAGCTTCGAAATCACTTGAGTCTTAAAACAAGGTTCTGGTTCTTCACCATAAACTTATCCTTGAGTTCTTGGGTGTTTCCTGCACACACCTGCGACACACCGAACGTTCTACACATGACAAAATAGAAACCGCGCAAGAGACACACGACGAAATGGTAACCGTGCACAGGACACAAACGACCGCGTGACACGCGACTAGTGATAACTCGCTATTGACTCGACACACACATTCGACATCATGACTCATCATTCACAAACTATTATCAACATAAAATATATATTATTTCATGCACTCATACCATTCTTTGTACACACGCATGCACGCATACGGACAACAAGCCGAGTGCAAACCGTAGGTTGCACCAACAAACTCCACCTCGAATTGTTGGCCTTAGGATCTGTTGCTCTCTGTTCAGAGCCATCCTAGCCAGCTTGCAACACCTCCAATGCTGCTGCTCCACCAGCCTCTTGGTCATCATATCAGCTGGTTGCCCCGTCGTCTTCACGTAGCACAACTCAACTTCACCCGTGGCCACCATGCTCCTCGTCCAATGCCACTTCACTCTCATGTGCTTGGTGAGGCCATAGCACCCTGGCAAGTGCAATAGCACCCTGGCTGTTACAGTAGTGTCGGGTGGGTCCTCACTGCTCCTCCCCCAATTCAGCCACGCCGCTGCCACACAATCTCCCATACGGCACGGAAGAGAGCCATGTATTTAAACTCCACCGAGCTCAAAGCGTGGTCCACCTGCTTCTTGCTTTCCCAAGCAATTGGGTCTCCACCAACACAGCATATGAAGCCTCCCACACTTGTCATGTCTCCTGGTTCCGATGCATAAGAGGCATCGGATGTTATCGGCACAGTAGGCTTCAATGTGCCTAAAACGAAAGATAGAGTGTACAGTCGGATTTCTGCACGGCGGCTTTAAACGTTCATAGCGTTCTGGTCACAGCTTCAAATGACCTGATTCAACTTGACTCTGGAGCGTCTTAACGTCACCTACAAAAGGCAATTTAGATCGCACGATTTCACCAAGTATTGACAACACAGCGTTGGTTTGAACGAATGACACTATGGTAGCCACAATAGTCTTAGAACACAAGATAGGAAGAGTTACGAGTTGGGAATGACTCCCAGCTCCTACAAACCCCAAGAGCCAAGGTACAGTGATGTGTAACAGTGCCACACTGTCCCCAACCACGAAGGGTCTCGAAAATACCCTTCACTAGGGCCTACACCAAGTGAAATGTTACACTACACAAAGTAATGTAACTATCTTCAATATCTTACGGTGTACCCTTTTCGCGGGCTTCGTGATTACTTGAATCTTGACACCAAGGCTTTGGTTCTTCCCCACAAACTCATCCTTGAGTTCTTGATGGGTCTGCTGCACACACCTGCGACACGCCAAAGGTTCCACACACACGACAAAATAGAAGCGGAGCACGAGACACACGACATAATAGAAACCGCGCACGGGACACAAACGACTGCGTGACACGCGACTAGCGATAACTCGCTATTGACTCGACACAAACACTCGACATCATGACTCAACATTCACACACTATTATAAGCATGAAATATAAATTATCCCATGCCCTCATACCATTCCATGCACACACGCATGCACGCACACGGACAACAAGCCGAGTGCAAACCGTAGGTTGCACCAACATCGGAGAAGGCAGTCAGGAACAAACGCCCGGGTTCAACTCCATCCGTGCCGTTTTGGCGCCTTTGCGCTGCCGCCGAGTATTGCAGCCCAACGGTCGGTGTTTGGCCAAGATACTTGGCCACCCTCATTCCAGCTGCTACCTGCTCCTCATTAGGGAATTAAACAACCCTAGCCAGCTGCCCGGTAGCGAAGGCGACGTCCGGTCGGGTGTTAACCTCCACATAAATGAGGCTGCCCACCAATGAGTGAAATTGGCGCCTCTCCTCTTCGCCAACGCTCTCCTCCTCTAGCCCCTTCACACACTTGAACCCAGAAGGGAATAGAGTAGCCACATGGCTTTAACCCTGCCCAAAGTTGGCAGCCAAGGCCTCCAGGGGCTTTCGTTGGTGCACTCACATGCACCGCTTCTCCATATCATGTTCGATATGAAGCTCGAGGTAGAAGTTAACGTCACCAAGGGCTTTGCACTTGAACTTGTCCTGAAGCTTCAGCATGACCTCCTTCATAAGGTCAGAGGAGGGTGAGAATATGAGTATGTCATCCACGTACACCACCATGAAGCTCCTCTGCTCCCCCTCGCCAAGCATGAACAATTAGTGATCGGCCGTTGAGGGAGTGAAGCCGATCTCCTCCAACACTTCGCGCAGCTTCAAGTACCACTGCCTAGGGGCCTGCTTCAGCCCATAGAGGGCCTTATTCAGCTTCAAAACTCTGCAACTACCATCATCAAACCCCTCTGGCTGCGCCATGAAAATCTCTTCTTCAAGAATGCCGTTGAGGAACGTGGTTGTCACGTTCATCTGCTTCACCACCCATCCTTTGATGGCAGCCTCTACGAGTTGGGTTCGAAGCGTCGTCGGCTTCTCCACAGGAGCGAACAACTCATTGTGATCCACCTTCTCCTTCTGCTGGTACCCCTTGGCTACAAGCCTAGACTTGTAGCGCTCGATCTTGCCGTCGGCGTCGGACTTGATCTTGAAGAGCCACTTGGACGTAATCGCCTTACGCCCCTCCAGTAGCTCCACCAATTCCCACGTGTCATACTCCTCAATGCTCTTCAGCTCGCTCTCCATTGTATTCTTCCACTCCTCAGCACTACTCTCTAAGGCCTCCTTGAGAGTTACTGGTTCCCCCGGAGAGAAGAACACGAAGGCACACTCCTCGTGGTCACTTTCCTCATCATCTCCAACCATCATTGCCGCTCCGGCCAAGGCTGTCTTGCCCGGCTTTCTCGGCGTATCATATGTCAACCTATTAGGGGCTTGGATTATCCTCTTACCCCTTCCTTCCTCCTCAGCTGCAGAGACTTGAAGGCCTTGGTGTTGCTGCGGGGTGACTCGGATCCGTAGAGCACTTGTAGTGCGAGAAGGAAGTGTCGGTGCATGCTCGCTCACTTGCTGCACCTCCTCCCCCTCTTCCTCTGCGTTTTTGGCCTCTTCTCCCCCATTAATAAGAGGGGATTGCATTGTGATGGTGCTACCACTGCTCAGCTCCAAAGGCAGCTCCACATGCTCCAAACCAGAACTCTTCACCTCCCCAAACCGCACGCGTATCTTTGCCTCATTCTCCGCCTTCCAATCCTTGTAAAACAGGTTCTCCATGAACTTGCAGTCCTTGCTCACCAAGAATTTCTTAGTGAATGGGTCCCAAAGAAGCCATCCCTTGCTGTATTGAGCCATGCCCAAGTGCACAGCCCATATCGCCTGAGCACCAAGCTTGTTGTGTCGAAGATGCTTAGGTACGAGCGCCATGCACATGCATTCGAACACTCGAAGCATATCCACATTTGGCATCCTTCCAATCCACTCTACATAGGGCACCCATTTGTCTGCTCCCACATGAGTCAAGGCTCTATTCTTAGCCACACACACACTCCGCACCGTATCAGGCCATAAGTAGTCGGGTAGCCCGGCTTCAATGAGCAGCCCACGTGCCGTCTCCGTGATTGTGCGATTCGCTCGCTTGGCGATGCCGTTCATTGCAGGAGTGTATGGCATGGTAAGAGAGTGCCTTATACCATTCTGCTATTGACTCGACACATACATTGGACATCATGACTCATCATTCACACAATTTGATAAGCATGAAATATAGATCATCTCATGCCCTCATACCATTCCATGCACACACGCATGCACGCACACGGACAACAAGCCGAGTGCAAACCGTAGGTTGCACCAACATCAAGATCACAACACACTCCGAGCACAAGCAAGCGGCCACAAGGCCAG